ACTTGAGTGTTACCCTGTTTTGTGCTCTGTAATCGATACACATACGAAACCCTCCGTCTTGTGAACAATATCGGTGCGGCGAACGGCGATGAACTCGGTCGGAGGAATTCCTTCTCTAACAGGTAGTCTAGCTGCTTCATCAGTTCATCAAGCTCAAGCTGTGTCAGTCAAAACTGTCGCTGTACAGTTGGCTGTGCCCCCAGATCTAATTCTATTCGGTGATCATGTGCCCGCTGAGGTAGCACTCCCTCTGGTAAATCGTTCGGAAAAATCCTCGGGTACCGTTTCAACAGTTCCTGTAGTTCGGGCGGTACGGCTACCAGCAGTTTCTGAAAATCACTGGGCTGCTATGCTTCTCCTACCAATGCGATATCCACTGCGTACAAGTCAGCTCCAGCGGCAACAGCTCGTTTCATTGTGATGGCGTTGACGTGGACTGTTGAAGACTCAGGCGACTGCCAGCGAGGTAGCTCGACCCAGATACCGCTACTTCGCACAGTGCACCTACCCGTCGTCCAGTCAAATTCGCGGATTGTAGCGTCACAGCCAATCACGTCCCAGTAAAATGTCGTGCCCATCCAGTGTTGTCGCGAGCATTTCCTGTGTAAACCCGAAGTTCCCCCCGCAGCGGACTTTTACTCTCTCCACCTTCTCCCGTATGGCCAGCAGCGTGCCGTCGACTAAGCGTGCATCTACCTCCGGTAAACACCGACTAAGTGTCAGTTGCAGCTTCCGTGCGGTTGAAGGTGTAACCCTGTGACGACCGCTGCGTAGCCAAGTCGTCAACCCAGGAAGCGTCAGCGTGACCAGTGAGGACAACTCGAGCCCGTCCTCCAAGCACGAGCCCCATGCCCGACGTACTGCACAAGTAGCGCAACACCCTCTTCGCAGCATCCCAGTGCACCTTTCGGTGTCGACCGGGAGCCACGTAGCAAGCCAGAAGGCTGAGAGGGTATGCAAGGTCAGGTCGTGTGCAAGTCATCAGGTACATGAGGCAGCCCACAAGTTCTGGATACGGGCCACTCGGCTCTACGGACTCGTCCGAAGGTGGAGCTGAGAGCGAGTGACCGGTAGGCAGAGGAGTGGACTGTGGCGAGGAGTACGTGAAGCCGAAGCGCTGAAGGACCTGCTGCACCATGTGTGACTGAGTCAAGGTAATGGTGCGCTGTGCTCTGTCCCGGGTGATCCGCAAGCCAAGATAGCTTGTCAGTTCACCCAGGTCTGTTCACCTATGGCGGGAGTCGTACTCGAGGCTGTGAAAACAATAGGAATGAATGATTGACTAGAAAATGAGTTGGGTACAAATATGAAACCCTAAGAAACTGTACCCCATAGTGTCTACCCCACTACAGCCTAAACAGGCTATGTGATTAATGTTTGACACACCCCCATAGGCAAAGTGGGAGAGAACAAGGGGTCACAAGACCAGTCAAGCAAAGCAAAAACAAAGCAAGCTCAGGGTGGATCACAATGTCACCACACATTCCGAGCACAGGTTCAAAGGCCACAAGGCCAGTTCACATGCAGGATTATATATAAAAGGTAAACAAGCAAGTGCAGGTATATATATATCACAGTACAGGTAAAGTCAAGAGGTAAGCAAGTGAGGCAAAGTAGGCACAAGACCTAGCATAGTACAGAAGCGCTGATGATCACAAGGCTGAAGTGCCTTGGTGAAGATATCAGCAGTGTTGGCCTGGGAGGCCACGTAAGCAAGACGCAGCTGACCACGCTGCTGCAGCTCACGAGCAAGGAAGTAGCGAAGAGCAATGTGCTTCGTTCTGTGCTCCAGTCTGTGCTCCCGACACAAGGCCAGCATGGCCTTGTTGTCTACGTACAGAACCGGAGGAGAACGAGGCGGCTCACCGAGGTCAGTCAGCAGGTAGGTGAGCCAGCGTAACTCCTGTGCAGCCATGGCCCCTGCGTAGATCTCAGCCTCACAGCTGGAGCTGAGAACAGAAGACGAGCGAGTAGACTGCCACGAAACAGAGCCGGAACCAAGACTGAAGGTGTAACCCTGTGACGACTGCTGCGTAGCCAGGTCGTCAACCCAAGACGCGTCTGCGTGACCAGTGAGGACCACTGGTCAGCAAGGCAGGGCCGCGACTGGCCAGCAAGGCATGGCCGCGACGGGCCAGCAAGGCAGGGCCGCGACGGGCCGTATCAGGGCAGGGCGCGAGGCGCGCTTTGGGCAGGGCGCGAGGCGCGCTTCGGGCAGGGCATAAAAAGAAAATCGTGGTGGGCCCTAAAAAAAACGTTCCCACTGGGGAACCTGCTCAGAATACCATGTTAGAATATGGAACGAATGAATGACTGAACTAGAAAGCAGGTGGGTACAAGTGGGAAACCTAAAAGTGTTGTACCCTATAAGAACTACCCCACTATAGCCTAAACAGACTATAGCATATAAGTTTGACATACTGCTCCCTGTATTTTCCCGTGAATCAGTACTGGGAAATCCGTCGGTCTACCCTCCCTATTCGTCCGAGCCCGATCGATGGCGTGAATCGGTACTGTGACTCGGTGAGGGTCAGTGAGGTTGGGCGAGCAGGTTGTCTCGTCAGTAGTTGGCCCGATTTCTACTGACTGCTGGCGTTTCCCTGCCTCTGAGACTCCCTCCCTTGCTTTGCTCCGTGGCGCCTCAGCTCCTCTTGGCATTCGCTCTTGCGATGGCTTGGCCTATTGCAAGGAAAGCAGCGCCCCTTAAATGGCGCGTCAATTGTATTCGCTGCAACGGCGTGTACAGTGGCGTATTCGGCCGGTGCTCGAGGACGTTGTCCGTAGTAGAACCCTGGTCTGGGTTGGCGTATGATATCAATCTTCTCGGCAAGCACGAGGATCTCGTTGAAGTTCGAGAGCCCGCGTAGCATGATTTCGTGCGAGATGTCCGGCTTCAGCCCTCCGACGTAACGGTCCACCCGCTTCGCTTCGTGCATGTAGCCGACTTGCTCGCATGATGCGAGAAAACCTCTCGTATAGTCTTGTACCGACCCGAGTTGTCGCCAAGTACGCAGTCTTTGACGCGCTGAAATAGAAGCCACAATCGGCTCGAAGCGCGCCCGAAGCCCTGCGCACCACGCATCCCACGTGCTGTACTGGGCGGTTTCACAGAAAGAACTCCAGGTGACGGCTGGACCCGTGGGCCCTTCCTCTTGCGACAGCGGCTCGTAGGCGCGTGGCGACGTCACGATGACTCGCCACCAGTCCATGGCGGGGCCCCTCAGCAGCGAAACGGCGTAGCGAATCTTCGCTGCGTCCGACTCGACGTAATTCGCGTCGAAGAAAACGTTCATCGTGAAGACCCACGATTGAACTGTCGAACCTCCACGTTGGCTAGGATCGAAGCAGGGCGGGCGCTGCGGCTTGAGTGGCATCGGCGCCATGATGTCATTGTTGCAACTCGTTGCGGCGAACTCCACGTGCTGACGGGCTTCGCGAGGCCCTTGTGTGCTTGGTGCGGCCCAGTTCCTCTCCATGCTAGGCATAGGTGCCATCACTGGCTGCGCTTGAGCGTTGTCCCACGCTGTCGTTTTGTGTCGGTGTGCCTGATGAGATGAGGATCGGCTCCTCCGATTGTGCAGGTGCATTTGCAGGCGCGTGTGTTGGTGCGGGTGCATTCACTGTCGATTGCTAGCGAGCGGAGTCGCGTTCCGCCGTAAGTGTCGCAATTTCGAGCGCCGAATCTTCGAGTTGGCGTACGAGACGGTCGAGATTTTCATGCGTTAGTGTCGCGAGATTAATTTCGGCCATGGCGGGGGTGTCGGGCAAGCTCAGCGAGAGCCTCTGTTGTAGCCGTGCGTGCTTACGAGGGAGCACTTCGAGCGGCAGTGCTTGTTCGCTGAGAGACGTCTACCCACCCCAAACAAATGAGATAGTGGGGAAGCGAAGGTGTGGGTGCGGTCCGAGAGGAAATCGTAGGCTATGAATACCAAATGTTACGAGTGCAATTGAGCGAATGAGCGATAATTGCACTATCGAAGAAAAACAATACAATGAGCGAAGGCATGCGCTAAGAATATATAGCGAACTAGAGTGGTAACGGTAACGCGAAAAAATGGGGTGCGCTACGGGCCTAGTGTCGAGGTTGAGAAATGTCGAGGCGGAGGTCCGGAGTGCGGGTTACCAACTGAACCGTGAGGTTGGGTCGCATCGTGAACGGTGGCGGGAGTCGTGGTCGAGGCGAGTGTCGCGAGCGGGTAATGTTTCATTGTTGGGTGCCGATGGCAGGAATGGTCTTGTACGCGGTAAGTAGGGGCACAAATGAAGGAAAAGGATTTTTCCTAAGAATTGTAATAATCCTGATGTGGCTTTCAGCCATGTTCAAATTATAAACTACCTGAATTTGGTCGAGACGGAGCAATCCCAACCCAGCCTAACCGAATTACAATCCCTGGTTGTGGTGATGGGGCTGCCCTCGCTCCCGTGATTTTCGAAGCAAAGACCACCACCCGTACTTGCTTTCATCACTCTAGTGTTGGAAATCCGCTGTATGCTGACGTTAGTAGCTTCATCCAGTGCATTCCGCCGGCCGCTAATGGGCGCGCTACGCACTTTCGCGTCGGGAGGCGTTTGCCGCCAAGGCTTCAACTGCGCCGCACGCTTACCATCTCCCACGCCGCGTTCGTCGCTCCTCCCCGCCCTGCGAACGCTCTCCTTTTCGCCCATCGCCCACACTACCACTACCCCCGACCTTCCCGCACGCGCCGCTTTTACGCCATCCTGGTGCCGCGGACTCGTGTCGCCTTCCCCTTTTTTCCGAGGCTGCCAGTCTCGAGGGCTCGCCGGGTCTTTCCCACGCGGCTCGAAGGCCCCGCATCGAAGACGAAAGGACGCGAGTTCGAATCTTGCAGACGGTTACCGGAAACGGTTAGATCTGAGGGCAGCGGCTGCTGGCGCTTCAGCGGAACCTACAGCGGAAGGTACGGGAGAGGAAGGCGAGAGGGGAGTAGCGGGGAAGGTGCCAGGAATTTGCCCGGGCTGCGGCGTTTCCATGCAAAGCGATGATCCGAAACTTCCTGGATTCTTCGTCCTCCCTGCTGCGCTCGACCCGACGAGATCTGCCGAGGTTTCTGGGTTTAGGGGACGACGAAGGGTTAGATGAAGGGGAGTTGGAAGAATTAGAGGGTTTAACGGAAGAAGAGGAGGAAGCCGCGGGCAGGAAAAAAGTTGCTTTGTGGACAGAGTTTGACCTAAAGAATCGGGGCAGCCCGGGAAAACTTGTGGAGGCGATGCTTCCTCCCGTTGAGGTTGAGGTTGTTGATGACGTGGGCACGGGTTTCGAGGAGTTCGACGTGGACGATGATCTCGATGCTGACCTGGCAGCGGAAGCTTCCAGGAAAAGCGGCAGGAAGGGCGGCACTGATGCCCGTGATAACGGTGAGGAAGAAGACGAGGAGGAGGGGGAAGAGGAAGAGGAATTTGATGAGGAGGCGTGGGCAAAGGCTTGGGAGGAGCAGATGGAGAGAAACGGAACAGATGAGCTCAAGCGAGACTCTAGAGGGGCGGCGAGGGGCCGTGGCGATCGGATGAGGGGGAGGGACGTGGATGGAGAGGAGGAGGAGGAGGCCGGAGGTTTAGACGGGCAGGAGAAAGACGGAAAGTTGGTGGTCTGTGCCAGGTGTCACGCATTGAGAAACTACGGGCAGGTGAAAGACGAGAGCGTGGAAAATCTTCTGCCCGACTTTGATTTTGAGAGGGCCGTCGGGCAGCGTCTCCGGGCAGCTTACGGCCGTCGGGCAGTTGTGCTAGTGGTTGTGGACGCGGCAGATTTTGACGGGTCCTTCCCGCGCCGGGCAACCGAACTTTTAGCCCGGGCAGAAGCTGAGGCCGCGGGCAAGTGGAAGGAATCTCAGGCGGATGGCAAAGCAGCAGGCCCTCCGGGCGGCAGCAACACGTTTCGTCTCATCCTCGCAGCGAACAAAGCCGACCTGCTGCCGCCCCAAATCTCGCCGCTCCGACTGGAGCAGTGGATTCGCCGGCGGGCGAAAGCGGGCGGCCTGCCTCGTCTCACATCGCTACATCTCCTATCAGCCAAGACAGGGTTCGGGGTGGGGTATCTGGCTTCTCAGCTAGGCACACTGGCAGGACCCAGGGGGGACGTATGGGTGGTTGGGGCGCAGAACGCTGGAAAATCCTCTCTAATTAATGCCCTTGCTGCTGCTGTGAATACAGGGGGAAAGGGCGGGAAGGGCGGAGGGAAAGCGGGGATGACCGGGAAGGGAGCAGGAGGGAGGGCCGGGAAGAAAGGAGGGAAAGGAGGAGGGGGAGGAAGGGGAGGAGTGGGGTTGACTGAGGCATGGGTGCCTGGGACGACTATAGGGGTGGTGCCTATAGAGGGGGTGTTGGGGGGAAGGACGAGAGTGATGGACACTCCAGGGCTGCTGCACCCGCACCAGCTGTCGGTGCGGCTCAGCAGGGAGGAGCTGAAGGTGGTCGTGCCTAGGAAGGCGCTCAAACCCCGCACCTTCCGTATTAAGGTGAGAAGATGGGGTGGGGTTTCGGGTTTTGGGTTTAGAGTGAGAGTGATGGACATGCCAGGGCTGCTGCACCCGCAACAGCTGTCAGTGCGGCTCAGCAGGGAGGAGCTAAAGGTGGTCGTTCCTAGGAAGGCCCTCAAGCCCCGCACCTTCCGCATCAAGGTGAGTAATTTGGTTTGGGCGAAGAGATTCAGGGCTCTGGGGTTTACGGCATACAGTGATAGGCACACCCCACCAACTGTCGGTGTTTGAGGCGCCTCAAAAGGCACACAGTGATAGGCACACCCCACCAACTGTCGGTGTTTGAGGCGCCTCAAAAGGCACACAGTGATAGGCACACCCCACCAACTGTCGGTGCGGCTGAGCAGGGGGGAGCTAAAGGTGGTCGTGCCTCGGAAGGCCCTCAAACCCCACACGTTCCGCATCAAGGTGAGAAGATGGGGCGAGGTTTAGGGTTCGGGGTTTAGAATGAGAGTGATGGACACGCCAGGGCTGCTGCACTGGCACCAGCTTTGGGTGCGGCTGAGCAGGGAGGAGCTGAAGGTGGTCGTGCCTAGGAGTTGTAGTTATCTTTGGGTGAGGCAGCAGCAGCAGGCTGCCGCCTCTGTTGTGCAGCCAGGGCAGTGCATTCTGCTGGGAGGCTTGGCCCGAGTGGACGTGGAGGAGGCAGCAGCAGAGTCGATCTATCTGACATTCCAACTTCCCCCCTCCCCCCCCCATTCCTTCTCTCCTTTGCAGCCAGGGCAGTGCGTGCTGCTGCGAGGACTCGCTCGGGTGGATGTGGAAGAGGCAGCAGCAGAGTCCATCTATCCGACAGTGTGGCTCTTGCCAATGATAGCGTCACGGGCACCCCCTCATTGCTCCTCTCGCCCGCCCCTGCCTGCCCGCCCCTGCCTGCCCGCTACGTCCACCCCTCCCTTTGCAGCCAGGGCAGTGCGTTCTGCTGGGAGGCTTGGCCCGGGTGGATGTGGAGGAGGCGGCAGCGGGGTCAATCTATCAATATCTTCTTCCCCCCCTCTCCTTCTCCCATTTGCAGCCAGGGCAATGCATATTGTTGGGAGGCTTGGCGCGAGTGGATGTGGAGGAAGCAGCGGCGGAGTCCATTTATCTGACAGTGTGGCTCTCGCCAATGATAGCGTGCCACATGGGCAAGATCGCCAACGCGCCTGCTGTGCTGGAGAAGCACGTTGGGGTCAAGCTTCAGGTATGGCGATTGCAGGTTTGGTGGGTTCAGGTTCGGGGAGTGCAAGTTCGGTGAGTGCAGATTCGATGGGTGCAGGTTCAGTCGAGGTGCAGGTTTGTTGAGTGCAGGTTCGGTGGTTGCAGGTTCGGTGAGTGCAGGTTCAGTGGTTTTACATTTGGTGGTTTCACGTTCGATGACTGCATATATAATGGTATTCTGAGTATTAATTCCCATTCTTCTGTGTACGCTGTTCCCGCACTTGAATCTGCATTTCTCCATATCACCAGTTCTGAATCAATCTCCTCTCTTTCGCTCTCATGTGCGTGCCAACCCTAGCGTTCTGTTTTATATTATTGCTATCTTCCTTCCCCATCTCCACCACTCACATTTCCAACCCACCTCCATCTCGTCCTCACCCACACCCTCCAGCCGCCAGCAGAGGCATCTCGCATGGCAGATCTCGGAATGTGGTTACCATGTTCCGTTACAGTGGAGGGCACGTGGTGGGACCACAGCAGCGCTGACGTGGCTATAGCCGGGCTCGGCTGGGTGGCCGTCGGAATCAAAGGCTCTGCAATCAAATAATAATTCTCTTTCCCACCCATCTCCACCTCTCCCTCTTCCATCTCCACCACACTCAACCCATGTCCATCTCACCCTCTCCAACCCTCTCTCACCCAACCCTCCAGCCGCCAGCAGAGGCATCTCGCATGGCAGATCTCGGAATGTGGTTACCTCGTTCCGTTACAGTGGAGGGCACGCGGTGGGACCAGAGCAGCGCTGACGTGGCAGTAGCCGGGCTCGGCTGGGTGGCCGTGGGAATAAAAGGCTCCGCGAAACTCAAAGTGTGGACGTTTGAAGGGGTGGGTGTGACTGTAAGGGAAGCGATGGTGTTTGATTATGCGCCTGTGTTTGAACGGCCTGGGTTCTCTACTGGTGGGTTGCCGGTTACCAGGGAGGAAGGAGGAAAGGGGGGCAGTGGCAGTGGTGGTGCGGTGGGGAGCGGTTCAGATGGGAAGAAGGCAAAGAAGAAAACGAGGGGCGGCAGCAATAGGTCAAGGCCTGACGAGGTTGATGCAGTGGTGCTGTAGTGTGGAGAGGAGCCTTATACGGTAGCATGTTGCGTGTGTGTATGTGTCCAATGGATGGATGGATGGATGGATGGATGGATGGATGGATGGATGGATGGATGGATGGATGGATGGATGGATGGATGGATGGATGGATGGATGGATGGATGGATGGATGGATGGATGGATGGATGGATGGATGGATGGATGGATGGATGGATGGATGGATGGATGGATGGATGGATGGATGGATGGATGGATGGATGGATGGATGGATGGATGGATGGATGGATGGATGGATGGATGGATGGATGGATGGATGGATGGATGGATGGATGGATGGATGGATGGATGGATGGATGGATGGATGGATGGATGGATGGATGGATGGATGGATGGATGGATGGATGGATGGATGGATGGATGGATGGATGGATGGATGGATGGATGGATGGATGGATGGATGGATGGATGGATGGATGGATGGATGGATGGATGGATGGATGGATGGATGGATGGATGGATGGATGGATGGATGGATGGATGGATGGATGGATGGATGGATGGATGGATGGATGGATGGATGGATGGATGGATGGATGGATGGATGGATGGATGGATGGATGGATGGATGGATGGATGGATGGATGGATGGATGGATGGATGGATGGATGGATGGATGGATGGATGGATGGATGGATGGATGGATGGATGGATGGATGGATGGATGGATGGATGGATGGATGGATGGATGGATGGATGGATGGATGGATGGATGGATGGATGGATGGATGGATGGATGGATGGATGGATGGATGGATGGATGGATGGATGGATGGATGGATGGATGGATGGATGGATGGATGGATGGATGGATGGATGGATGGATGGATGGATGGATGGATGGATGGATGGATGGATGGATGGATGGATGGATGGATGGATGGATGGATGGATGGATGGATGGATGGATGGATGGATGGATGGATGGATGGATGGATGGATGGATGGATGGATGGATGGATGGATGGACCAGAAGACGTTGAAGTTTGCCCTGGCAGGCACGGGACCAACATGCTGTGTAGTACAGGAATAGATGCAGTTGATGTCTCTTAAGTCTTACAAAAGGCTTACCATGTTGATGACTGAGCTACCACATCCCGGCGAGCTCCTTGATTTGATAAGATCTTCACTTTCTGAGTGGGCACAGAAGCTGCACTGGTGCTAGGAGCTTACAGCACCGGTAATAACTGGCAAACCTCCTTCACAAGTGTTTTTCTGTTACCGTACAATATTATGTTCCACTCTATAAGAAAGAAAAATAAATTGCAATGCAACATAGGGTATTGTACGTACGGCAGTACCATAGAAATGGCACATACACAGTTTGATTTATTTTCTGTACAGAACATGCACATTTAAATTATACGTTTTCTACCCACTACTGTAATGGAACCACGGTATACCATGTAGGCATTCAGCCTGACTGGTCAATATTAATTGAGGACCATGATTTTGAGAAATCACTGACTAATAACTACGAAAGGTGCATGCATGATGTTCGATGGGCTGCGGGAGTCGCCTTTCTCAGGGATGATCCCATTCTTGCGTGTTTTTTATGGGACACCTAGCGACCTGTACCTCCGAGCAGGCCCTTTCGTACAGAGCCTCGAGTCAGCACGGGGATCGAGGCAGGGGGACCCGCTCGGCCCTTTTCTTTTCGCGTTCACGCAGCAGCAGGTGATGGAGCCGGTTACTAGGGAGTTTAAGGACCTGCTTTTCCTCAGCTATGCAGACGATACCTATATTTTGGGGCCAGCGGCTAGGATTCTGGAGGCTTTTGGGGTGCTGCGGGAGCGGTTGGAGTGGGTGGGGCTGGAGGTGCAGGCACACAAGTGCCGGTTTTGGGAGCGCGAGGGCAAGGAGGTGGAGCGGGCACTGCCATTGGGGATGCAGCGGGTGGATGAGGGTCTTACTGTGGTGGGCGTGCCTATTGGGGAGGAGGTTTGGGAGGTGGTCCGGCTACGGGAGCGGCTTCGACAGTTGCAGGCGCCACTGCCATGGCTCCAATTGCTCGACCACCCTCAGATGGCTTCACACCTCCTCGCCATTGCAGTTTCAGCGCGGCCGATGTACCTCGCCCGGACTATGCCGCCGCGTCCGGAGGTGGTTGAGGCTTTTAGGGATTGGGACAGCTGTTTAGAGGATTGCTTTGAGCAGCTTTTCCCACCTGGCACTTGGGAGCAGGACCCCGACCGGTCTAGGCGCGCACGCATGCAGCTGCATCTCCCTGTGCGACTCGGAGGGTTCGGGATCCGGGCGGCGGCCTCTTTGAGCCCACTGTCCTATGTTTGTGGGTGGGCGCAGGCCGCGCGTGACATTGCACAGTTAGGGGTGGCGGATGAGGAGGCGATGTTTGCAGAGTACCTCACCACTTCGACAGGGGCAGAGTTTCTTGACCCGTGGTTTGTCAAGGCTCTTGAGCAGCTGCCAGCGACTATCCGCCACGAGATACCGGGCTTACCTCTGTGCGTAGCGGCCCCTCCTGTTCGGCTTTTCCAGGCGCGGCAGCGGCAGTTAGCTGTAGAGGAGCTCCAGGCACTACGCCGCTTGGCTCGTGACGATGCTACCTTGGCCCGTTTCACATCCCTTCAGGGCCCGGGGGCGGGTGCATGGGTTTCGGCGGTTCCGGCTCACTCAGATCTCACATTCACTGCGGCTGAGTGGGGCATCGCTGCTGCTATACGGCTTGGCCTCCCAATTCAGCAGCTGCAGGTGGCGGGGAGGTGTATTTGTGGCACAGCGTATGTTGACCCAGCAGACCCGCACCATGCCCTGAGATGCAAGCACCAGCATGGTCCATCTCGGGTGCATGATGAGGTGAAGTTTGCGGTGGCGAAGATCTCTAAGGCGTCGGGGGGGGTGGTGACAATGGAGGATAGTGTGGTGCTGCAGGGGAAGCGGGTTGATGTGGCGGTGCGACGACCAATGGCTGGAGAGGCTCACGCCCTAGAGATCAGCGTCGCGGACCCGCTATCGCTGTCTCCATCACTGCTGGGACAGTGCGGGCGTCAAATAGGTGTGGCGGCAAGGGAGTGGGAGCGTCGCAAAACGAGTGATTACGCGCCTCTGCTTGCACGCAACCGGGGCGTGCAGTTCACCCCTTTGATTAGTTGAGACGTGGGGGTGTCTCGTCGGTCGTTTTCAGCGGTGGCTTCGTCAGCAGGGGGATGCGCACGTGGGGCTAGCTGTGTCGCGGGGGGCTTGTCGAGAGGACGACTCTGTGTTTTCGGCTTATCTTTTAGGGTCACTGAAGGCGCTCATCGGGGCGGCGTTACAACGTGCGCAAGCCCGTGTCATCCTGCTTCGACCGACGTCTTCCATGGGGGGGATTAACGTAGATTTGGTGGACCGGGAGAGGGACGATGTCGATGTGGAAGGCGGGGCTCTCTGGGTAGAGGCCCCGTACATGGTCGATACGCTGTTGTGATTGAAGGGGGGGGGGGGAGTGGGGTGTGGGATGGGATGTCTTGATGGGGTGTCTTGACTCGGCGTTTTGATTGGATATCTTGAGGGGGGGTTCTATGTGTGTTGCATTTGGGTTCTTTTACTCATGTGCTTCTTCGTGAGTGGGGCAACACATAGGGAAAAATGGATGTCTGTGGTTGGGGTGGGGATGGGGAAAGAGAGATGCGGATTGCGATCGAGGGAAGTTTTTGGGTTATGTGAATAAAGGTGCATGCATCTTTCCATCAGAATTGTACATGTTATAAAAGCTACACTTTTAAATGAATATTCATGACACAGCCTATCCTAAAAATGAATGGAGATGTGCAAGGCAATCGTCTGCTTAACGATGGGTTGACCATGCCATGCCAAGTTTTAGGGTGCGAAGGTCTACTCTCACTCAACCCACTCCAATCCCACACAGTTGTGTCAGTGCATGCACGCATCTGCACACAGAAGAGAGTAGGCTCCAATGTTCCTGCTGCCGATGCTGCACGCATAACCCATACCCAGCACAAGCAGCAGCAGCCACAGGAGAAACAGACTGCATAAGTAGCAGCAGACGCAGCAGCAGAAACAGCAACTGCAGCAGCATCGGCAGCAGAGGCAGCAACACCAACCCGCAACACCAACTCGCAACACCGACACCACCAGCATCAGCGCCAGAACCAGCACCAGCCGTGATCGTCCCCAGCCCACCAACCCACCCCAGCAGCCCCAATTTCCACTCTAGCGTGAGAACCCCACCAGCGCATCAGCAAACCCATCCCTCCACAGGCAACCCCATAGCTGCTGTCTGCAGCAGTGGGCGTGCTGCCCAATAATCAACCAGTATCGTCACCGTTTTTATACCCACCACAATGCACAGGCCTACAGCAAGGCCCGTGCAATCGCCTGATCTCCCCCACTAGTCGACCCTCCGTCACAACCTCCCTTTGCACACCCACACTATCCCACCTGGGACCCAGCACAGCCCCAAACTGCTCCAGTGCCCTCAGATTTAACCTCCTCAAAGCCTGTCAGCAACAGCTCAGTGCCTCAGCTATCCCGACTTCTACAAATCGAGCAGGCCAGTGGCATGCCCCTTCTGCTTGCTTGCTTCCCTGTTCCCACTGCTGCGCTCACTCCAGGCAAGCCAAATCGCCACAGTGCAGTGGAGAGCTAGTCGACCTTAAGGGCCCCTTCAGAAGCCGCCTCTGATCCACCTTCAGGGGCTTCTCAGAAGCAGCAGAACCAGTAGAAGCAGCGCCTAGTCGACCTTGAGGTGTAGCTTGAGGAAGTCGTATACCCAGTAGCTCAATGCCGCGGATGGCAGCACCTGCAGAGATGGGAAGGTAACGAGAGGGAAGGACGATTAAAGATTGTTGAGAAAACTGAGGGAATGATGGGAAATGTTGGGGCGAATAAAGAATATGAAAAAAGGGAGCTCTTCAGCACATCCATGCAGGGTGTAACATTCTTTCACAAAAATTTCAAGTTCTCTGTCAGATCAGCGCTCTTGAATTGAAGCTAGACTTGGCAGAGAATGAAGCAGACTTTCTCAAGCTGTGCACTTCTAAGCTCAGCAGCTGCGGAACTGCGCGGGACAGATGTAACTGAATCGGGAAACAGCTAGGGAAGCAGGACCTCCACGCTGTTGATTCTCTCAAAGCCTATGCATCTCACGATTCTAGAGAACCAGAGTCGCAAAAACCTCACAACTATCTAGGGATACCTCGCGATTATTGTCAGGGATAACCGCATTCCTCTCTTCTCCAGCTTCCACTATCTCACACCTATCTAGTATCACGGACATGGGTAGCTGCTTATGTAAACCTCCCTCTTGCCTTCGAAGACCTTGTTGATTTTTCATTTTATTCACAGCTTCGATCGCAATAAGAACATACCTGAAGCAGGCCGGGAACCATTCCAGCGTAGAGCGCGGAAAATCCTCCCCTCTGCGCCACCTCTTTCAGCACCCGCATCGCTCCCGCCTGCCTCCCCGCCACCGCTACGGACCCCTCAATACCGCTCATCTGCATCTGCCGCCGGACCACCTCCAGAGGGTAGGTAGCGAACTCCGACACAACCCCTGCAATCGCCCCGTACAGCAGCGTCCGCATCGGACCCAGCTCCTTCCGAACCTCCGCTGCTTCTACCGCGTCCGTCTCAACCGCGGATACACCTGTCGCTTGCGATGCAGACCCGTCGGCTTTGGCCAACGAAGGAAGACCGGCTGATAGGGAGGCGGTTTGAGAGGAGGGGGTTCCTGGCAGGGCGAGTTTCCCGGAAGGCAGGAATGAGATCTTGTCTATCACTGGAAGCTTCGGCTTATCCTGGGATTGCAGATGCGTAGTTTTCATGAAATCGTAAGCGGCGTAGAAAATCGCACAGGATGGAGCGATACTGTAGACCGCAGGCCATATGCCTCGATATAAGCCGAAAAAACCCTGCGTTCGGATCATCTCGCTTAGACAGCCGGCCAGATCGGTGCACGCGATGCCGCCTCGCGCGATCATCCTTGTCCTCACCTGAACGAACCAGATCAGGGAAAGAAAGGAAGTCGGTCTAAATAAGCTTGGGGCATGGGGAGGGTATGGGAGTCATGCAGGGAATTTCAAGGCTTCATGCTGACTGGTCAGGAATGGAGGATTATAAAAAAAAATGCAGCCGAATAGAGAATCTAACATAGAACAGTGTAACGCACTATGTATTGTATCGGATCTGTGCTCCCTGCTTCCCGCGAGAAACAATGCTGAACCTGCTACTACCGGATGCTTTCCGTATCCGGCGGGAAACAAATCCTAAACCTTGAAACTGATGCTTACCGTATCCAGCGGGAAGCAGGCGAAGGTGGCGATGACGCCGGCGACGGCTCCGGCCGATAGCCGCTCGACGTTGTTAACGTCCGTCTTCTTGGACATATCCAGAATCTTTTGACGGAAAATATCGTACATGACGAAATTGATCGTCTTAAACGGCACGATGCGCAGCAGATTCACGCCGTTGCCCCTCCAGAACCCCATCATGCCCTCGCGCGCGAATATCCGTCGGGTTAGCTCCGGCACGTGCGCTTTGGCCCCGCACACCATGTACTCCAGCTTCAGACGCTCCAAGGGAGCCACCGCAGATCTGAACGGAGGAGAGAAGGGGAAAGGAGGGAATGGATGTTGTTTCGAATCGACTAGAGACACGAAGGGTTTGGCTCAACTCGACTTGAAATACGCGTTTATTATATCGCGTACACTGTACACTCTAGCAGCTTCAGACGCTCCACTGTAGTGATGGCGGATCTGGACCGGGGACGACGGCGAACAAGGCAACGAATGAGCACGGGTGGAAAATGCAACGGACAACGAGAACTGCGAGACAGACGCGAGGATGATCGCGTAATCTACGCCAGAAGGGAAAGCCGACATCTGGTGCTGAAGCAGCGCAGAGGGGAAGTACGACCACGTATCGACGAGATCCTTGGAAAATCCGCTATCTCAATGGCCACATGCGCCGGCAAGCTCAAGCCAGAATCAACAGCAGAACGAATCGCGCTCACCTAGCGACGACGGAAGCCGTTGCTCCGGCGAAGATATGTTTGACCGTCGTTTGAGATTTCTCAAACACGACGATCCGACTCGCTCTCACCTGGCGACAACTGACGCCGTTGCTCCGGCGAAGATGTGTTTGACCGTCTTCAACCCGCCGTCTTCCTGCAGGCGGCTCCACGCCCCCGCGATGTTCTCCCGGCATCCCTTCTGCGCGTTCCCCCACGCCTCTCCCGCCCGTTGCACCACCGCCTGGCTCTGAGCCGCAACCCAGTTCCGCGCCTTCCGCAACTCAACCTCGGGCTTCCATCTACTGTTTTGAGCGCCTCCAGACTTCGCATTCACGTTCGCAGCTTGGCGAGTCTTATTCTTCTCGCCGATTTCCCCGACGGCCGGTCGTGTAGCCGACCATCTGTCGATTCTGACGTCGGATCTGGGCCGAGGTGGATCCAGCGGGACCACATCCATGCCCCAGCCGTCGACCACGTCGTCTAGAGGAAGAGGCGTGCGAAGCGGCATCGCCGCCGAGAAGCTCGCGTACTGCTTCCGCGCGTGGGGGGGAGTGACGCACGGCATGCGGAGACAGTGGAATAGGTGCGTTGATTTGTTGGAAGGCCGAAAACGCGTCGCCGAGTAACGAGACGAGGCTGACTGGACACACGATCGTAACGTTTTCTTCTTTCAAAATGTAGAAGCGTATTTATCTTTTACGACTGATTCGCTAGAGGGCAGGAGTTAAACGAGAGCAGCGAGTTGATCCAACCCATCGTCTATGGACCTTGACAACGCAAAGATCAGTTGGCTACTGACAGAAGCACGATCGGGAAATGGAGAACAGGGATAACACGATGGCAACACGGCCAGCAGTCTCCCACAATGGTTCGCAAGTTTGGTAGAGAAAGGTACTGCTGGGAGGAATTCAGTAGAAAGAATGGAGGCGCAGTTGTGATTGAGAAATGTCGCAAACGAGTGAAGGAACGATTTGAATCGAAATATCGGGCTGTGGGGAAGTTATGGTGGGAAGGCTGCGATATGTTGTGTGGTGGGACTCAGTGTGGCTGTGTGTGGGGGTGGGGAAGCTGTGTCGGGCTGGGCTGTGGTTGGACTGATCAGTCAGACCAGCTGGGAGAGGAGGTTGGAGCGAAAGGAAATGACTTGAGATTCAGTGGGGTGCGTGCGTCGGTGATTTTGGCGTTGTGACCGTTGCGAAACGAGGTTTGGCGAAACGAAGGGTGCCCCTGAAGAGAGAGCTGGAAGAGGTTCGTCTAGGGGGTGCGGGCGAACCTCTGCGACAAGAATCATGGTCACGACGTTACCGACCATGGATTCTTTTCGCGTGACGCCTAGTGGGAACCAGTATCTTGCTAGCTAGGCAATGGCATTGTTGGAGAATGGAATGGTGAATTGATTTTTGTGGAATGAACGGTGGTGACCAGAACTGGACCAGCTCAGCCAACGAGAGCCCGCGAAAGCTACAGACCAACTGCGTCTTGGCAGGGGCGCTTTCTGGGGGTAGTCGAGCCAATGAGCACCACCGCGCGGAACGAGGAGCCAACCACACGCAACAAAACAGGCGGTAGATTTGAGGACGAGCGGCAACCGCACGCAGGTCCCCCCATACACAGGTTTCCCGCGATCATAAATGGGACGCTTCCGCACGTACTGGTGCCACGCGAGACCGAACCACGCTCACAGGCTAGGGTGAAGTTGGAGCCCCCAATCAGCAGTAAAGGAATCTACCGAGCTTCTCATTCGGGCATCAACATGTTTGCTTGACAAAACGAATTGGGGTGACAAAACCACCACACAGCCTCGTCTTGCCTGCCCAGACAGTTGGACAATAGCTGAGAATGTTCGGGCTGAGCTGGCATGACTTCCACGTGGCGTTTGTTCTTCCGTTGAAGGTGTGGTATGGAAGATGCTTATGGTCCGGCAGCACGCGACTTCTTAAAATCATGTACAAGAGCGCCAATCACTTGGCGGCCTATGGTTTTGAACGAGAGTTAGTACAAGAAAATTTGTAAAAAAATATGGTCTGATTATGTGCCAGATGTAGAAGTGAGCTTACACGCGCGTTACAAAGGGCAAAGGTATAGCGCATATAATGTAAAGCTTACTAGTCCTTTCCCATTAGTAATAAAATCATACAGAGTCCCGTAAGAAGATAACAAATCATATCATTATCAACACATTTACAGCATGCCAGTGTACCCATTACTATGGATTTAACCAGCCCCACGACTTGACAAACTGACCCCTCAAAGCACATTTGTTGCCATAATAGGAGATAACAGCAAAATGGCCACGAGGGTTGTTCATGAGCTTGTATGCTGGGGATAATGTGTAGCCGAAGCGAGTAAGGTATCGGTGCTTCCTAGTTGCATGGTAGCTATAGGTCCGAACCTGCCGATTTATGGGGCCATTCAGGGTGTCATTCTTCCAGTTCATGACGAATGGCGGCACTCGCACCCCGTCGGCACCGTCTGGAGAAGTGAAGCGTCTACCTATGTACACTCCGTACATCGGGATGTTGCCATTACTGAACATGTTGTTGACCGTCACATAAGTTCGCACCACGTAACTTAATCCATCTCTGCAAAATAAATCCGTACAGTGAGATAACGTTTCAACCCCCACAAAAATGTCTGCGGATTGGAGTGAAGAAAACACGAGCTCACATGTAAACGGAGATGCCAACTCGTCCGAATCCGAGGTTTAAGTCGGTACCTCCAAGGACATTGACTCCTGAAAGAATGGCTGTCGCCCTCTCTGCTCACGTCATCAAGCATCACAAAGAAAAGGAAATATGAGACTCTACGCATTCCACGAAGACTTTCTGGAAAAATAAGGGCGAAGGGATGTGCGAGACAGCGCGGGGATGTCAGACCGACCGCACATACAATTCTTTGTTTGATTTTGTTTGTGTTTTGTCTTTCCTCGTGATAAGATGCGGTCAGAGCGACTTACTGTAGAGCACTTTCGAGGAAGCCACGGATGCGAGAGTGCCTGTAATCAGGGGGACTGTCCGAAACGAGAGTTAGGTAACGACCAAGTGATCAAGACTACGAAGGGGTATGCGTGTCAAAAGGTTGCGAGCGGAAGTCGAGAATGAAGATGATGGAAATATGTTTATGCGTAACGAAGACAGCCAGTTGCGCCAGAGGTGCTCACATAGAAGAAGAAAGACAAAAATGACTCGATGCTTCTCCATCCTTTCGTGTCACTGATTTCGAGCAGCAGCGAAGAGTAATGACTGATAACAATCTCAGCTAAGGACTTCACGAGTCAACTCAACACAACCCGGTCAGAAGAAGGGGGGCTGTTATAGATTTGTTTACTGAACGGATTAGGGAGTGCTAATGAGTCAGACATTGGGGGCTCGGGTTGGGGGGGGCACACGCACCTAGCCACTCGAACATCTGTGTCCTCTGGCAGAGAACAGCACCACTATTCTAAAGTAGGCTTGCCACAAGTAGCGGCTCGTAAGTAGGCCCGCCGCGAAGCGATCCGTACATTGAACATCTGAAATAGCCGTAAAAATAAAAATAATCATCTCAGAGGAGACTCATTCAGGTGGCTCGTGCGCCGAGGGGATCAAGAAATGATAGCAAAGACTACACTTGAAGACTTTCATTTCGTAACTTAACCAGCCCAAACAAATGGTGGTTTGAATGTTTGTGAAAGGCACCACCCCATTTGCAGTGGAGAGGACAGTGGCAGTTACATCACGATGTTGGTCGGTGGTGGAGGCGCGTCGTAACGGATGTTCGCGAAGATCTTAGCGAATATCGCCTCAACAAATGTCTGCGATTGTTCGTGCACCTTGAAGAACCACTTGACAAAAAATACCATCCTCACTACAAACAGCTTCGATACGAACGCCTAACAGTAGGGATGGTTCGAAATAATCAGGTGTTAGCGGCAGTGAGTTACAACACACACCACACCATGATGAGTGAGCGGCTCATGCTAAACATTGGCAAGCAGATTGAACCACATTGCATTCTTATGGCAACAATCTTTTAGCAGAATAACGAAATTTCATGTGACAGGAGGAAGGCAGACACTATAACTCAATACCGTACTCAATTGATAATTTATTACCCAGCATGAATAAACTATTATTAACCCACTCCAACTACTCCACTTTCAACGCCCTTTCTTCCTCGGTAGGAGCCCTATCCTCGCCACCCTCCCCACTGCTAACAACAGCAGCAAGAGCCTCGGGAGTCTCCTCCTGCATCGGCAAGAGGACTGGCTTGGCGTTGGAACCCAGTGCACTGAGAGGCTGCATCTTAGGGCCGTTCAACATGAGCGCTGTGCATGCGATTAGGTGCATGCCCACAATCAAGCAGCACTGGTACAGTATCGCCTCGCCCACCTGTGATGTTACGCACACACACAGGGGAGCAAGGCATATGAGAGAATTTGTTAGATACCGGTAAAGCTGGAACAAAAGTAAGGATTCCCTCATATGCAGGAGGAGTGTATGGAGGAGTGTATGCAGGAGTATGGAGGAGTGTATGGAGGAGTACGGAGGAGTGTATGGAGGAGTGTATGCAGGAGTATGGAGGAGTGTATGGAGGAGTACGGAGGAGTGTATGGAGGAGTGAATACAAGTGATCCCATTTATTACAAGCACAAGTATTGCATGCAGCACCACTATAAGCACACTCACGGTGTAGTTCACAATAGGGAGCTTCTGGAGGATCTGATCCCTACTGGGGGGTGAAACGACTCGAAAAGCACCGTTACAAGCACACCCATTATAAGCACACCCATTACAAGCACACCCATTATAAGCACCACCATTACAAGCACACCCATTACAAGCACACTCACAGTGTAGTTCGCAATGGAGAGCTGATGGAGGATCTGATCCCCAGTCGGACAGTCGGCGCAGGAAAAGGTCAGCCCTGGGATGGATAGAGGGGGAGGAGAGAGGCAACAAGGGAAAAAAGAACCCGGAAGGAGACACACGGAAAAAAAAATCAAGGCAGCTTAGTAGGAGACTTATGAGTCCGGCTGGAGAATTACGTTTGGTTGATAGGACAACTCGCGTGAGAGCTGGCGGCGCAACGAACGTGAGTCGCTTAGAAAAATCGTGTGATGAGACAATTTTTGAGTCGACTAAAAAAGCATCTCATCACAGCCTGGCTGGAAAATGGCGACTGGTTGATATGATAGGACAGATTGTGTGAGAGCTGACAGAGCACCGAACCCACGGAGGCGTTGTTTGAGGCTTCTTGAAAAAAAAAATATTTAGTGAAGAAGGAGCAATTGGTTAATTCAAGTGGGGAGAAGAGGCTTTTTAGAAAAATCAAGTGAACAAGGGGCAACTCGCGTGACAGCTGGTAGAGTGCACAGAAACAGGAGACCCCAGTGACCCAGTTCCTGGATGGGCGGGACTCAAAGGCGCATCAGACCACAGCTTGCCTGAGACTTGCCCACACAGCCACAGTCCCGCTAGGCTAAGGACCAGACAAGGCCAGGCAAGGCCAGGCAAGGCCAGGCAAGCCCCACGCACCCACCCGCGGCTTGTCGCATAGGGCTAACTCACTCGCTCACGCACTGGGGAACTGATCGACAAAGTCTATTTTTGACGCGCCTAAAAAATAGGCGCCTCGCCTAAAAACTAGGTGCCTCAAAAATGGGAGCCTAAAAAAACTGGTGCCTAAAAACCAGCACGCACTGGGGAACTGGTTGACACAGCTAGCCCTGGGAAGCCACACCAAGTGGGCTTTTAGGGCGTTGGGAATCACAGCTGATCCACTGCACCCCATCCCATCCCATCCCACCCCATCCCACCACATCCACCCCATTCAAGCCTATCCCAATGAGAGAGTGCGACTGATTGATCGGAAAACTGGATAACGGCGAGCCCCACAGAGCCCCACTGGATGGGCGATATGTAGCCCAGCACGTCCCACCCCACCTCACCTCACCCCACCCCACCCCACCTCACCTTACCTGTAGCCCAGCACGTCCCACCCCACCTCACTTCACCCCACCCCACCTCACCTTACCTCACCCCACCCCACACAGTCAAAATACAGGCTCACCCGAGAACGGGTTAATGGCGAGCCCCATGAAGCCCCACTGGATGGTTGAGATGTAGCGCACCCAGCAGGTCCACACGGGGATGGAGTCGAGATTCACGTAGTGACCCACCACACCTCAACCTATTGCACCGCATCCCACCCCATTCAAGCCTATCCCAGTGAAACAGAGTGCGACTCACCCTCAAACTGGTTAACTGCCAGCCCAACGAAGCCCCACTGGATTTGCTTTGAGCCCCACCCCACCCCACCCCACCCCACTCTACCCCACTCCACCCCATTCAAGGCTCACCCTCGAACTGGTTGACGGCGAGCCCCACGAATCCCCACTGGATGGGCGAGATGTAGCGCACCCAGCGGATCCACACGGGGATGGAGTCGATGTTCACATAGAAGCCTCCAAACAGCATCAGCACCACTGTGAACAGCGGCCCCATGGCTAGCGCAATCTGAGGAGTGGGCGCAATTGACCCAATCTGTGGGTGAGTGGGGGGAGAGAGGGTGGTACGTGAGGGGATTGAGATTCACGTAGAAGCCCCCAAAGAGCATGAGCACGACTGTGAATAGAGGGCCCATGGCTAGAGCGATCTGAGGTGTCGGTGCTATCGACCCGATCTGTGGGTGAGTGGGGGGAGGGGGGTTAAGGCATTCAGAGGGGTTGAGACGAGTCCGAGCGGGTTGTTGAGGGGAGAAAAGGGTGAAGAAACGTACAAGCAGCATCAGCACGACTGTGACGAGAGGGCCCATGGCTACCATGCCGATCTGAGGTGTCGGCAGGCACCACCGTGAACATGCAACAGGGGGAAGGATCGGCGACATAACCAGCGCGCAATCTGAGGCGCTGGTGCTATCAAGCAGGCAAATGAGATGGAAGCTGGCGCACATGCGCCCCCCTTCCTCCCCCTCCCCCTCCCCCTCCCCCTCCCCCTCCCCCTCCCCCTCCCTCTCCCTCTTCCCCTCCCTCTCCTCTCCCCTCCTACCCCTTCCCTCGTGCACCCCAACCCACCGCAACGACGAGTTTGTTCATGACAGCGTAACCGAACAAGAAGGGGCGACCTCTTTTCACTTTCGACAATTCTCAAAGGTCTGTTCATGACAGCGTAATCCAACAATGAGGGGCGACCTCTTTTCCACTCCCACGCATACACCTATTTCCGCCCTGGCTTACCCTACCTGCCTTTCCTCCTCCCCCTCACCTCTCACCAAGCACCCAACACAATGCCCAGTCCGTTCATGGAGGAAGGAGAGGAGACCCGCTCGCCCCACACACATGCACACACACTGACCCTATCTACCCTTCCTCCCCCTCCCTCTCCCCCCCACACACGCACCACGATGCCGAGCCCGTTCATGGCGGTGAATTCGAGCATGAGGATGACGAGGAAGAGGAAGAACTTGGAGGAAGAAGAGGAGACCCGCTCGCCCCACACACACATGCACGCACGCCCTCCCTTCCCAACCACACACGCATACCACAATGCCTCCCTTCCCAACCACATACCACGATGCCTAGCCCATTCATGGCGGTGAATTCGAGCATGAGGATGACGAGGAAGAGGAAGAACTTGGAGGCCACGCGCTGGTACTCAATGGGCCAGTAGGCGATCACCCCGAACAGGAGCACGGGGCCGATGCGGATGGGCCACTCCGAGAGCACCTTGGCGGGGTAGTATGCAGTTATGCGGTAACTGTTGGACGACCGCTCGCGGTTCACAACCCCTTTCTCCAGTGGAAAGGTCGTGATCATCTGCAAAGAGTAGGGTAGAAACGGGAAGGGGGAGGAAAGAGGGAGGAGGGTTGGGAAGGGAGAGCAGAAGGGGTGGGGATGGAAAGGGGGGGATGGGGGGAGGGGTTTTACGGGGATGAGGTGTGAAAGGCGTTCATTCATGCTTGCGGTCCACCACGCCTTTCTCAAGTGGAAAGGTCGTGATCATCTCGCTGGATGGGATGGAACGAGAAAATGAGGGAAGGGGGAGGGGAAGGGGATGTGAGGAAAGGGGGGTGAGGAGGGGGAGAGGTGAGTGTTGGGCAAGGGGGGTCGGGGGAGCAAAAAGCAAGAGTAGGAGAAAATAGCTCGCGGTTCACCAACCCTTTCTCCAGTGAGAGGGTGGTGATTAACTGGCGGAGTAGAAACGGAAAGGAAAGGATAGGAAGGGAAGGGGGTGGGGAGGGGAGGAGAAGGGTAAGGGGAGGGTTTGTGAGGTGATGGGTGATTAGAGAAAGGAGCTCGCCATTCACCACCCCTTTCTCCAACAGGAAAGTGGTGATCATCTGGAGGGATGGGGATGTGAGGGAAAGGGGAGAGGGAGGTTGGCAGGTGGCTGGTTGGTTACATGGGCGGGTTGTGTTGTGAAAGGGGCGTTGGATAGCTAGGGGTGTAGAGTTCGTTCATAGGCACGTTTTGGCTGCAACAAAAAGTAAAATCGCATCCCAATTGTATGCATGCAACAACAGTGAAAAAAAAAGGGTACGGAATCTTTCTTGTTGGAAGAATCAAAAGCGTCACTATGTCCTGCTGCAGCCCCCATATTCCGCCCCTGCTCTTAGCCCAAACTTCCGTGTCTGACCTACAAAAAAAAAAAAAAAAAAAAAAAAAAAAAACCGTGGAAATCACCTGAAAGATGCCGTTGAAGGCGAGAAAGAGGGCGATGAAGAAAATCGACCCAGTCATGTTCTGCTCCGGATAATCGAGCGAGTTGGAGTAGAGAATACAGATCATCACCATCATCACCATCGCCTGCACGTACGCGATCGCTATAGGCAGCCGATCCCTCGTCACCTGCCACCACGATTGGGAAGAGTGCGATGGAAGTGTATTTTTGAGACGTCTCAATGGTAGAGCATGGAGATCATCACCATCGCCTGCACGTACGCGATCGCTATCGGGAGCCTATCCCGGGTCACCTGCCACCACGACCACCGCACCAGCCACCACCGCACCAGCCATGTTAATATTGAGAATTCTCAAAAGCAGGACCACCACGACCCATGTGATTAATTAGGCGAGCAGCATTCTAAAAGAAACCAAAGAAAACTAAAACAAGACTAAAAGAAAGTAACAGAAACTAAAGATCCCTCCTCACCTGCCACCACGACTGCCGCGCCAGCACCACCAGCTGCGTCATCCAAGTAGACGCATACTTGTAATATTTCATCCCCTCCCCGCATGGCCTCCCCTTTGTGACAAACATAGACTTTTGAGACATCTTACAGCTTATCCCTCCTCCTCACCTGCCACCAGGACCGCCGCGCCAGCACCACCAGCTGCGTCATCCAAGTAGATGCATACTTGGAATATTTCATCCCCTCCGCCGCCTCCGCCTGCTCCTCCATGCTCTTCTGGTGCAGGTCCGGCCGAACCTCCCGCGAAGGCTCGTACGAGGAGGTGAGCTGCTGGATGCGCGCAGTGCTGTCGGTTTCCCGCTGCTCGTCACGGCGGTCGATGGAAATCATATCCATGAAATAGTCGGCCGGGTTGAAGTGCTCCGGGCAGGCGAAGCCCTGGCGGGAGAAGTAGTCGATCGAATCTGCAGCCTGCCCGAAAAAAACCATGCGGCCTTCGCTCAGCAGCAGCAGGTTTTCAAACTGCAAAGGGGGAAGGGGGGAGAGAGGGGGGTAGTGATGAGGGTGGAGAGGAAGAACAGAGGAAGGATAGGGGGGGGTAGCAGAGGCAGTGAGAGAACAGGGTGGGAGAGGGGTGTTGGGGAGAGGGTGGTGAGGTGAGAAGGGGGGAGGGGTTTACTTCGAGGCAAATCAGATCAGACGACACCCAAACTGCACAGGGGGGAGGAGAGGGGAAGAAAGTAGGGAGATAGATAGAGGGAGGGAGAAAAAAAGCGCAAGGAACTGAAGGGATCAGTGAATGTGGTAAAATAGTTGCCTCTGAAAAGCACTCGATAGGGGATGCGTGCTGCGATGCGCCCAATCACTCACAAGGGTGGTGAGGATTTTCACCATAACGCAAATTCTGAAAACCAGAGAATCTCGTCTGGTGAATGACGGATGGTGGGTGATGTGATGGAGGGTGGGTGGATGGTGGATAGAGGATGGCGGATGGAGGAGCGCGGCTGCTGGATGGTGGATGGTGGATATGCGATGACGGTGCATGGTGGATATGCGATGACGGTGCATGGTGGATATGCGATGACGGTGCATGGTGGATATGCGATGACGGTGCATGGTGGATATGCGATGACGGTGCATGGTGGATATGCGATGACGGTGCATGGTGGATATGCGATGACGGTGCATGGTGGATATGCGATGACGGTGCATGGTGGATATGCGATGACGGTGCATGGTGGATATGCGATGACGGTGCATGGTGGATATGCGATGACGGTGCATGGTGGATATGCGATGACGGTGCATGGTGGATATGCGATGACGGTGCATGGTGGATATGCGATGACGGTGCATGGTGGATATGCGATGACGGTGCATGGTGGATATGCGATGACGGTGCATGGTGGATATGCGATGACGGTGCATGGTGGATATGCGATGACGGTGCATGGTGGATATGCGATGACGGTGCATGGTGGATATGCGATGACGGTGCATGGTGGATATGCGATGACGGTGCATGGTGGATATGCGATGACGGTGCATGGTGGATATGCGATGACGGTGCATGGTGGATATGCGATGACGGTGCATGGTGGATATGCGATGACGGTGCATGGTGGATATGCGATGACGGTGCATGGTGGATATGCGATGACGGTGCATGGTGGATATGCGATGACGGTGCATGGTGGATATGCGATGACGGTGCATGGTGGATATGCGATGACGGTGCATGGTGGATATGCGATGACGGTGCATGGTGGATATGCGATGACGGTGCATGGTGGATATGCGATGACGGTGCATGGTGGATATGCGATGACGGTGCATGGTGGATATGCGATGACGGTGCATGGTGGATATGCGATGACGGTGCATGGTGGATATGCGATGACGGTGCATGGTGGATATGCGATGACGGTGCATGGTGGATATGCGATGACGGTGCATGGTGGATATGCGATGACGGTGCATGGTGGATATGCGATGACGGTGCATGGTGGATATGCGATGACGGTGCATGGTGGATATGCGATGACGGTGCATGGTGGATATGCGATGACGGTGCATGGTGGATATGCGATGACGGTGCATGGTGGATATGCGATGACGGTGCATGGTGGATATGCGATGACGGTGCATGGTGGATATGCGATGACGGTGCATGGTGGATATGCGATGACGGTGCATGGTGGATATGCGATGACGGTGCATGGTGGATATGCGATGACGGTGCATGGTGGATATGCGATGACGGTGCATGGTGGATATGCGATGACGGTGCATGGTGGATATGCGATGACGGTGCATGGTGGATATGCGATGACGGTGCATGGTGGATATGCGATGACGGTGCATGGTGGATATGCGATGACGGTGCATGGTGGATATGCGATGACGGTGCATGGTGGATATGCGATGACGGTGCATGGTGGATATGCGATGACGGTGCATGGTGGATATGCGATGACGGTGCATGGTGGATATGCGATGACGGTGCATGGTGGATATGCGATGACGGTGCATGGTGGATATGCGATGACGGTGCATGGTGGATATGCGATGACGGTGCATGGTGGATATGCGATGACGGTGCATGGTGGATATGCGATGACGGTGCATGGTGGATATGCGATGACGGTGCATGGTGGATATGCGATGACGGTGCATGGTGGATATGCGATGACGGTGCATGGTGGATATGCGATGACGGTGCATGGTGGATATGCGATGACGGTGCATGGTGGATATGCGATGACGGTGCATGGTGGATATGCGATGACGGTGCATGGTGGATATGCGATGACGGTGCATGGTGGATATGCGATGACGGTGCATGGTGGATATGCGATGACGGTGCATGGTGGATATGCGATGACGGTGCATGGTGGATATGCGATGACGGTGCATGGTGGATATGCGATGACGGTGCATGGTGGATATGCGATGACGGTGCATGGTGGATATGCGATGACGGTGCATGGTGGATATGCGATGACGGTGCATGGTGGATATGCGATGACGGTGCATGGTGGATATGCGATGACGGTGCATGGTGGATATGCGATGACGGTGCATGGTGGATATGCGATGACGGTGCATGGTGGATATGCGATGACGGTGCATGGTGGATATGCGATGACGGTGCATGGTGGATATGCGATGACGGTGCATGGTGGATATGCGATGACGGTGCATGGTGGATATGCGATGACGGTGCATGGTGGATATGCGATGACGGTGCATGGTGGATATGCGATGACGGTGCATGGTGGATATGCGATGACGGTGCATGGTGGATATGCGATGACGGTGCATGGTGGATATGCGATGACGGTGCATGGTGGATATGCGATGACGGTGCATGGTTGTGTGCATGGTGGATATGCGATGACGGTGCATGGTGGATATGCGATGACGGTGCATGGTGGATATGCGATGACGGTGCATGGTGGATATGCGATGACGGTGCATGGTGGATATGCGATGACGGTGCATGGTGGATATGCGATGACGGTGCATGGTGGATATGCGATGACGGTGCATGGTGGATATGCGATGACGGTGCATGGTGGATATGCGATGACGGTGCATGGTGGATATGCGATGACGGTGCATGGTGGATATGCGATGACGGTGCATGGTGGATATGCGATGACGGTGCATGGTGGATATGCGATGACGGTGCATGGTGGATATGCGATGACGGTGCATGGTGGATATGCGATGACGGTGCATGGTGGATATGCGATGACGGTGCATGGTGGATATGCGATGACGGTGCATGGTGGATATGCGATGACGGTGCATGGTGGATATGCGATGACGGTGCATGGTGGATATGCGATGACGGTGCATGGTGGATATGCGATGACGGTGCATGGTGGATATGCGATGACGGTGCATGGTGGATATGCGATGACGGTGCATGGTGGATATGCGATGACGGTGCATGGTGGATATGCGATGACGGTGCATGGTGGATATGCGATGACGGTGCATGGTGGATATGCGATGACGGTGCATGGTGGATATGCGATGACGGTGCATGGTGGATATGCGATGACGGTGCATGGTGGATATGCGATGACGGTGCATGGTGGATATGCGATGGCGGTGCATGGTGGATATGCGATGACGGTGCATGGTGGATATGCGATGACGGTGCATGGTGGATATGCGATGACGGTGCATGGTGGATATGCGATGACGGTGCATGGTGGATATGCGATGACGGTGCATGGTGGATATGCGATGACGGTGCATGGTGGATATGCGATGACGGTGCATGGTGGATATGCGATGACGGTGCATGGTGGATATGCGATGACGGTGCATGGTGGATATGCGATGACGGTGCATGGTGGATATGCGATGACGGTGCATGGTGGATATGCGATGACGGTGCATGGTGGATATGCGATGACGGTGCATGGTGGATATGCGATGACGGTGCATGGTGGATATGCGATGACGGTGCATGGTGGATATGCGATGACGGTGCATGGTGGATATGCGATGACGGTGCATGGTGGATATGCGATGACGGTGCATGGTGGATATGCGATGACGGTGCATGGTGGATATGCGATGACGGTGCATGGTGGATATGCGATGACGGTGCATGGTGGATATGCGATGACGGTGCATGGTGGATATGCGATGACGGTGCATGGTGGATATGCGATGACGGTGCATGGTGGATATGCGATGACGGTGCATGGTGGATATGCGATGACGGTGCATGGTGGATATGCGATGACGGTGCATGGTGGATATGCGATGACGGTGCATGGTGGATATGCGATGACGGTGCATGGTGGATATGCGATGACGGTGCATGGTGGATATGCGATGACGGTGCATGGTGGATATGCGATGACGGTGCATGGTGGATATGCGATGACGGTGCATGGTGGATATGCGATGACGGTGCATGGTGGATATGCGATGACGGTGCATGGTGGATATGCGATGACGGTGCATGGTGGATATGCGATGACGGTGCATGGTGGATATGCGATGACGGTGCATGGTGGATATGCGATGACGGTGCATGGTGGATATGCGATGACGGTGCATGGTGGATATGCGATGACGGTGCATGGTGGATATGCGATGACGGTGCATGGTGGATATGCGATGACGGTGCATGGTGGATATGCGATGACGGTGCATGGTGGATATGCGATGACGGTGCATGGTGGATATGCGATGACGGTGCATGGTGGATATGCGATGACGGTGCATGGTGGATATGCGATGACGGTGCATGGTGGATATGCGATGACGGTGCATGGTGGATATGCGATGACGGTGCATGGTGGATATGCGATGACGGTGCATGGTGGATATGCGATGACGGTGCATGGTGGATATGCGATGACGGTGCATGGTGGATATGCGATGACGGTGCATGGTGGATATGCGATGACGGTGCATGGTGGATATGCGATGACGGTGCATGGTGGATATGCGATGACGGTGCATGGTGGATATGCGATGACGGTGCATGGTGGATATGCGATGACGGTGCATGGTGGATATGCGATGACGGTGCATGGTGGATATGCGATGACGGTGCATGGTGGATATGCGATGACGGTGCATGGTGGATATGCGATGACGGTGCATGGTGGATATGCGATGACGGTGCATGGTGGATATGCGATGACGGTGCATGGTGGATATGCGATGACGGTGCATGGTGGATATGCGATGACGGTGCATGGTGGATATGCGATGACGGTGCATGGTGGATATGCGATGACGGTGCATGGTGGATATGCGATGACGGTGCATGGTGGATATGCGATGACGGTGCATGGTGGATATGCGATGACGGTGCATGGTGGATATGCGATGACGGTGCATGGTGGATATGCGATGACGGTGCATGGTGGATATGCGATGACGGTGCATGGTGGATATGCGATGACGGTGCATGGTGGATATGCGATGACGGTGCATGGTGGATATGCGATGACGGTGCATGGTGGATATGCGATGACGGTGCATGGTGGATATGCGATGACGGTGCATGGTGGATATGCGATGACGGTGCATGGTGGATATGCGATGACGGTGCATGGTGGATATGCGATGACGGTGCATGGTGGATATGCGATGACGGTGCATGGTGGATATGCGATGACGGTGCATGGTGGATATGCGATGACGGTGCATGGTGGATATGCGATGACGGTGCATGGTGGATATGCGATGACGGTGCATGGTGGATATGCGATGACGGTGCATGGTGGATATGCGATGACGGTGCATGGTGGATATGCGATGACGGTGCATGGTGGATATGCGATGACGGTGCATGGTGGATATGCGATGACGGTGCATGGTGGATATGCGATGACGGTGCATGGTGGATATGCGATGACGGTGCATGGTGGATATGCGATGACGGTGCATGGTGGATATGCGATGACGGTGCATGGTGGATATGCGATGACGGTGCATGGTGGATATGCGATGACGGTGCATGGTGGATATGCGATGACGGTGCATGGTGGATATGCGATGACGGTGCATGGTGGATATGCGATGACGGTGCATGGTGGATATGCGATGACGGTGCATGGTGGATATGCGATGACGGTGCATGGTGGATATGCGATGACGGTGCATGGTGGATATGCGATGACGGTGCATGGTGGATATGCGATGACGGTGCATGGTGGATATGCGATGACGGTGCATGGTGGATATGCGATGACGGTGCATGGTGGATATGCGATGACGGTGCATGGTGGATATGCGATGACGGTGCATGGTGGATATGCGATGACGGTGCATGGTGGATATGCGATGACGGTGCATGGTGGATATGCGATGACGGTGCATGGTGGATATGCGATGACGGTGCATGGTGGATATGCGATGACGGTGCATGGTGGATATGCGATGACGGTGCATGGTGGATATGCGATGACGGTGCATGGTGGATATGCGATGACGGTGCATGGTGGATATGCGATGACGGTGCATGGTGGATATGCGATGACGGTGCATGGTGGATATGCGATGACGGTGCATGGTGGATATGCGATGACGGTGCATGGTGGATATGCGATGACGGTGCATGGTGGATATGCGATGACGGCGCATGGTGGATATGCGATGACGGCGCATGGTGGATATGCGATGACGGCGCATGGTGGATATGCGATGACGGTGCATGGTGGATATGCGATGACGGTGCATGGTGGATATGCGATGACGGTGCATGGTGGATATGCGATGACGGTGCATGGTGGATATGCGATGACGGTGCATGCACAGCCTAGGAACAACTCTAAGGCCGCCCTTCGAGCTGCAACCCACTCACGAGGGCGAAGATGGAGGAGCGCAGCGCGGCTGGTGGATGGATGGTGAAGATGAGATGACGGTGCATGCACCAAGGGCCTAGAAACGCCCCCCTAAAATGCCCCAATAAATGCACCCCTAACATGCCCCCTAAAATGCACCCCTAAAATCCACCCCTAAGCCTACCCTACGAGCCCCACGCCACTCACGAGGGCGAAGATGGAGGAGCGTGGCTGGTGGATGGTGGAGATGACGGTGCGGCCGCTCTTTGAGAGATCAGAGAGTGCACTCATCACGTTCAGCGCCTGAAAGCTGTCCAGCCCAGACGTGGGCTCGTCTGCAGTGGGTGAGGAGGGGGGTTGGGGTGGGGGGTGGAGGGAAACGATGAGGGCAATAGGAACGATTGCCAAGGAGGGGTGAGGAGAGGTCCGAGAGAGAGCACTCATCACGTTCAGCGCCTGAAAGCTGTCCAGCCCGGACGTGGGCTCGTCTGCGAGAGGGGGAGAGCGGGAGGGGGGGAGAGCGGGAGGGGAGGAGAGCAGGGGAAGGCAGGGACGAGCATTAGGGAATGCATGCGATTAGGGGAGAGTGGGCAGAGAGAGATCAGAGCGTGCGCTTATCACGTGGGGCGCCTGAAAGCTGTGCAGCCCGGATGTGGGCTCGTCTGGGAGGGGGTGAGGAGGAGAGCAGGACTTGTTACGGCGAATCAGAGCAGCAAAACAATCCGAGGAGACATCAGGGCATTCTCTAGAAGAAAACCAGAGCATGAGAGCAGCAAATCAAATCTCACCGAGGAATACGAGCGAGGGGTTCGAAAGCATCTCCACGGCAATATTCGTCCGCTTCCTCTCCCCACCACTAACACCCCGGATCATCTCATTCCCAATCGGCGTGTTCCTCGCCTTGCTCAGCCCCAGCTCAGCAATGATGGACTCCGCCAGCTGCAGGCGCTGCGCCTTGGGCGTGGACGACGGCAGGACACATGCAAATCATCAGGGCAAACCAAACTCACCAAGGAATACGAGCGAGGGGTTCGATAGCATCTCCACGGCAATGTTCGTCCTCTTCCGCTCGCCGCCACTCACTCCCCGGATCATCTCATTCCCAATCGGCGTGTTCCTCGCCTTGCTCAGCCCCAGCTCAGCAATGATGGACTCCGCCAGCTGCAGCCGCTGCGCCTTGGGCGTGGACGACGGCAGGCGCAGCATGGCGGCGGTCTGAAGCGTCTCCCAGACGGTGAGCGTGGAGAACATGAGATCATCTTGCATCACGTACGCGGAAATCCGCCTGAAGCTCTCGTCCCTGGGGCGCCCGTTCACCAGCACCTGCCCGGCAAGGGAGGTTGGAGCCCCCGCCCTCATGACCCGCCCTGCTAGGACGTTCAGCAGACTCGTTTTGCCAGAGCCTGGGAGGGGCAAACAGATACCAGGAGAAGGGGGAGACAGGGGGCAGACAGATGAGGGACAGAGCAGCATGGCGGCGGTCTGCAGCGTCTCCCAGACGGTGAGCGTGGAGAACATGCGGTCGTCCTGCATCACGTAGGCTGAGACGCGCCTGAAGCTCTCGTCTCGCGGGTGTCCATTTACCAGCACCTGCCCCGCTTGGGGCGTCGGGGCGCCAGCGCGCATCACCCTTCCTGCTAGCACGACAGCAGACTCGACTTGCCAGAGCCTGGAGGGGCAGGGAAAAAGGGAGACAAGGGGGAAATACGGGGCAGATGCGGGGCAGGCGGTGAGCGTGGAGAGCATGAGATCATCCTGCATCACGTATGCCGAAATCCGTCTGAAGCTCTCGTCCCGTGGCCGCCCGTTCACCAGCACATGCCACGCTAGAGAGGTGGGGGCGCCTGTGCGTTCAACAGACTTGTCTTGCGGGTTCCTGAGAGGAGCACGGGAGGGGGAGACAAGGGGCAGATGAGGGGTTCTGCCTGAAGAGTCTATTTTTTAGACGAGTCAAAAATAGACTCATCACACGCCTGTGCGTTCAACAGACTCGTCTTGCGGGTTGCTGAGTGGAGCACGGGAGGAGGAGACAAGGGGCAGATGAGGGGTTCTGCCTGAAGCTCTCGTTCCGTGCACGCCCGCTCATCAGCTTTGAGACGTCTCAAAGCCCGTTCACCAGCACAGCACCTGCCCGGATACGGAGGTTGGGGCGCCCGTTCACCAGCACCTGCCCGGATACGGAGGTTGGGGCGCCCGTTCCGAAATGAGAGCGAAAGTTCAACTGCAAACTAGTCCCTGGACTGGAAAGAAGAGCTAACCAGAGATATCCATATAGCTTTGACGTACTTCTCAGGGTTTAACCACGAACGACGCGTACGGCAGGGAGAACTATCCCACCTGAGGGGCCCATGATGGCAAAGGAAGGAGCCCGCCTTGACGCATCCGGTGAGGTTGATGGCGAAAAGTTACACGACCCAAACGAAACGTAGCGAAAGGGGAAAAGGCCGCACCTGAGCGGCCCATAATAGCGAGGAAGGAGCCGGCCTTGACGTATCCCGTGAGGTTATCCAGAGGAGGGACCAATCACTAACGAAAAACTGGAAAGAAAGCACACACCTGAGGGGCCCATGATGGCGAGAAAGGAGCCGGCCTTGACGTATCCCGTGAGGTTATCCAGAATGAGCTTGTTGGTCTTCGCCTTGCCTCTCCCCAGCGTGACGGTGTACGTTACGTTCTTGAACGCCAGGGAGACCGGGTGGAAGCGAGTCCCTGGGGCCGCCGCCGCCACCTGGCGAAGGGCAAAGGGAAGGGGAAGACATGGATATTCTAAAAAAGGTGTCCCTCGCCCCAGCGTCAACGTGTACGTGACGTTCTTGAACGCCAGAGACACGGGGTGGAAATGAGTCCCTGGCGCTGCCGCCGCCACCTGGCGAAGAGGAAACAGAGAAAGGGGAGAGATGATTGTCTCCGGGAAAAGTTTACTCATTTACGTCACCCGTTTAAACGCCAGAAACACCAGGTGGAACACGCGTTCCGGGCATGCGACCACGACGTCAGTCAGCTTAAAAAAGAAGACGACGAAACAATCGCAATATCACTTCGCTCCGCCGCTGCTTCGTCCAACAACTGCAAAAACAGCTGAAAATAATATATTATTGAGGAAAATTATTTAAAACAAAATCGCAGACACCGGAACTGTGAAGTGAACCGACTTCGTTTGAACGGAGAGAATGTGAATGCTCCGTCAGCGTTACCTCAAACATGGACTGCGTTCGCTTATACTCGTTTCCTTCTGACGGAACGGTGACTCTCTCTTCCGCGTTCAACGGCTCGCCTTGCTCCACGTCGATTGGCGCAACGTCGCCGCTACTGTTAGGCACCTCCCCCATCGCCCCGCCTAAACCCATTGTTCCTTCTGCTTCTGTGATAGGCTACAAGAACGATCGTCGAGCAGGAATATGTATGGCAAGCATAGAACTTTAGATAGAAGGAACTAGGACCCGGTGAGACGAGCGATGGCACCAACTTCGTCACTACGGTAAGGGCACACCGGCTTTCACGCACCACGACCGCTAAAGGTGAAGCCGTCGAAACTACAGCAAGTGCTTGGAGCTGACACTCCCGAGACACCACTAGCAGGAACACCTAGTCCTAAACAATAACAGGCAGGAAGAGCATGTACATTGGATGGAACAGAACGGCAGCACAGCAGCACAGCAGCACTGTACACAAGGAGGACGAGTGAGGAGGAATGACAACTTAAAACCGTGGCCCAACTATCAGCTTCAACTTCAGGGTATTACAGCTTGAAACTTGGTAGTCCCAGGCAGTTCAGTGGCGAGAGGTTTGTCTTGTGCGAGATTCCAATTTTTTCGTCCAATAAGGGTCCCGTTACACACACTCCATATTTGTCCTGCAACTGTTCCTAAGAAGTTGCACCCCGCCTTTAAAGGGCATCAGAACCTCTCGCCTCGCCATGTGTTACCGAGTACGGTAAAGGGTTTTCGACCATATCTGAGTATCGCTCGAAACCCTACCTAAACGTTGGGAAAAGGTCATAATTAGCCAAAAATCTCACCTAACCGTAAAATCAGAACGTAGCGTCGTGGCTGGTTCAGTGAGCATGGCAAAACCTTGACGAGAAGATGGCTCACACTACAAGCTCAGAAGCCTTCGCAAACGGGAGTTGGACAGCTACGGCACCCCAAATGTCTGGCGAAAATAGGCGAAGATGGTTTCATCGCAACAGCCGCCAAAAGGATAAACGTGATGTCCGATACGTGGTGGGGTGGGGAGGAGGCATTCGAGCGCGTGACTGGCCAATCAGCGCACGTGCTGCGAGGAAGTTTGCGTACCGCCGAGATGCAACACCAGAAACTGCGCGGAAATGCAGAGAGAACCATGTCTACGTCAGCAATGGCTCCGTAAGAAAGCCTTCTCATTTTATAATATGATTCAGAATATTTATGTATACATTCACTAAGAATTGAGAAGGACCATATCCAAGACAATTGAATCAAGCTTTTAAAAGTATATGCGTTCAATTTGCACGTACACACAAAACCGGGATAATTGTGCAGCTCTAATCAAATGTCAGAAACCAAGTGGAAGCAGGGACACAGGAAGCGGACAAGGCACCAAAGGGGGGACAAGCAGGAGACACGCACAACTGAAGAGGGAACAGGGAAGATGCAGAGGATGAGAGGTGGTCTTGGATGTCAGGAGACGCAAACGAAGCTGCTTGTGTCCTGAAAAGTGGCACTGCAAAAAGAGAAGCAAACAAGCGGAGCAACCTGACGTGCCCATGCCTGCCTGCCTGCATTCAGTTCTTCCATCTTGAACGCCTTCAGCTGTGTTTACTGAAACCATTAATCAGCATTCAATCTGCATGTTTGCTTTGATCTTATGAAACTGCATTCAATCAACAGCTTGTCGTGCTGCCGAGGCATGCAGATGCTGGTAAAGGGGAAAAAGACAAGCAAGCAGGCAACAGGCACATAGGCAGAAACACAAGAAAAGAAATACACACACAGGAGAAGAAGAAAACACAGAACAAACACAGGCAAGAAAAAGAACAAAGGGGGGAGGGGGAGAAACGGCAAATGCAGGAGAAAGGACAGGTTGTCAGAACTGAAAGTCGTAACGATCGAATGCCCCCCTGTGAAAGACCCGACATGGTTTGCAGTCTCAGCTTCAGTGCAAGCTGCTGGAAGGGTGGCAGAAATTGCAAGGTGGAGTCACTTGATTCTCACGTCTCAGACAAACCTCTGAGGCGTCTCAGATCTCACAAATGATCCAATTGCACCACGTGTTCCTGTTTCCGGAAGCGAGGGGAATATTGTGAATCAAAACTCCTCCATCCATATCTGTTGATTGAGCCGCTCCAGAATGCATGCTCCTGCATCCATGGATAGCTCTTCCGTTTGGTTTAGGCAGCCATGGAAGAACGCACAAACCGCACAGCGCAAATACCAAGAAATCATCTCCTTGACTTTTGAGTCGGCCCACTCAAAGCACGAATCGCACAGCACAAAGAACCCTCGAGGGGCCTGATATGTTTGGGCCGTCCAAGGCTTGGTAGAGTGCATGCCTTGACCAAGCCTAGTGTGGTGAAATGAAGACAAGGTTTGCTTTGCTTGAAGCTTCTCTCGCAGGCCTTTCGGCCAACCTTGGAGGGAAAGTAGCGGCTACCTTGCTTGCTAGCTTACTTGTTTGCACAGTCAATCTTCCTCCTCTCCATAGTCCACAAGAGTCATTCCTCCCGGGCCACCTGCCGAGCCTGCAGTCACCGAACCTGGAGTGATGTTAGCCGAACCTGCGCCTGTAGCATGGGCGGATGCTTAAGGGCCAAAAAAAAGTAGTTGAAGACAGCGGAGGGAGAAATATGCCGTTAAATATAAGGGAAGTAAATGCTATATGTATGTATACAGATTCTGTAAAGCAAACAGGCCGGATAGATGAAGCAGCTCAATGAAGCAGCAGAGCCTTTCTGCTTACCGTTTTGCTCATTTGCCTGGCCTCCACCTCCTCCGCCGAGCCTGTGTGGCAGCTTCGGCGGTGGCGGGCCCATGACTGACCGAGCCTGTGGCGGAGGCATGGAAGACGATTGGTACTGCTGCTGCGGCTGATGCTGCTGCTGCTGCTGCTGCTGCTGCTGCTGCTGCTGTTGCTGCTGCTGCTGCGGCTGGTAAGTGGTATAGCTCCCCCCATACGAACCATAGGAAGACTGGTAGGAACCTGTACCATTCCCTGCATTGCCACCCGCACCAGTTGAACCACCACCACCACCACTCCCGCTACCACCACCAGCAGCACCACCACCAGGAGTATTACCAGCAGCACCACCACCGCCTCCTCCTCCCCCTCCCACGTCAGTCACTTCTCGAAACTTTCTCCCCTTGCCCGATGTGCTTCTGTTCGCCCCTCCCCCTCCCCCCATGCCCACCTGCGAATACAACCCCCCATACGCTGCATACCCTGGCCCACTCACCCCTCCCCCTCCACCCCCGTCCTTCTCCCCCCCTCCCCCTCCACCTCCTCCGCCTCCTCCCCCTCCTCCGCCCCCTCCGCCCCCTGCGCCCCCTGCGCCCCCTGACTGCTGCTGCTGCTGCCACTCGTCCCGGATGGTGTCTATAAGGCTCTCTGCCAGCTTCTTTGCTTCGGCCATCTGTGCTGCCGATGCGCCCTCAGAGGCAGTGAGGGAGACGTGTAGGGGCGCGTTCAGCTCTGCACACGAGGGTGGGGAGGAGAGGGGGGGAGGGGAAGGGGAGTGGGGGTGGGGGGGGGGGTATTATTAAGCAAGCGAGCCTGACTGCTGCTACTGCTGCCACTCCTCCCGGATGGTGTCTATGAGGCTCTCTGCCAGCTTCTTTGCTTCGGCCATCTGTGCTGCTGATGCACCTTCAGAGGCAGTGAGCGAGACGTGCAGAGGCGCGTTCAGCTCTGCACACGAGGGGTGGAAGGGGAGGAAAAGGGCGGGGGGGGGGGGGGGGGGGGGGGGGGGGGGGAAGAACAGGCGGGATAGGGGTGTGAGAGGGGAGGAGGAGGTAGGAGGGGAGAGGGTGCAGTTATAAAAAAAATGCCTGACTGCTGCTGCTGCCACTCCTCCTGAATGGTGTCTGTAAGGCTCTCTGCCAGCTTCTTTGCCTCAGCCATCTGTGCTGCCGATGCACCTTCAGTGGTCATGAGCGGTGAAAGGTGGGCAATGAGGGAGATGGGAGGGGTGTGAAAAGGAGAAAAGGAAATGGTGAGGGTGGGTGAGTGAACTCTGCAAGGTTTCTTCGCCTCTCCTCATCCTCCCCTCTCCACTCACATCCACCGTTAATCTCACCTTCGCCGTTAATCTCACCTGGCCTCGCCTTCGCATCTCCTCATCTTCGCCCTCGCCTCAAAAAGACATTTGCACATTCGCCGTTGATCTCATGGTTGTTGGAACGTCGCCCATGCAGCGTCGCCTTGAAGCCCATGAAATGCGAATTCTCAAAAGTCGCCTTGAAGCCCGTGAAATGCCTGTGAATGTGCAAATGTCTTTTTAAGGCACCTCAAAAGTCCCTCCCCACCTTCGCCCGCCCTCCCCTCACTTTTCCCGTTGATGTCACCCCGTCCTCCCCTCTCCTTCGCCGTTGATCTCGTGGTTGTTGGAGAATCATCCATGCAACGTCGCCTTGATACCCGTGGAGCACAAATGTCACATCGTCCTCCCAACCAACCTTCGACCTCCCCTCACCTTCAGCGTTAATCTCACTCCGTCCTCTCCTCACCTTCACCCACCTCTCACCTTCACAGCTGGTCTCACTCACCTTCACAGCTGGTCTCACCTTCACAGCTGGTCTCACCTTCGCCGTTGATCTCGTGGTTGTTGGAGCATCGTCCATGCAGCGTCGCCTTGATACCCGTGGACGTCTGAATATGCTCCAAATACGAGTCCTGCGCGTGAGTAGAGGGGAGGGGGAGCAGGGGGGGAGGAGGAAGGGAGGGGGGGGGGGGGGGGGGGGGAGGTGGGAAGGGGAGAGAGAGGGAGAGAGAGAAAATGAGAAACATTGGGCCGTGCAATGCGCCCAGAAGCTTCAAACTCGCGGGTCGGTTCAAACCCAGCAAGTACAAGCACGGTGTCTTGGGGTCTTGGGGTTGACCCCTGGGAGGATTGACCCCGCACAAGTCCTAACCCAACCAGCCAGCCCCAGAACCACCTCCCCTCCCTCTTCCCGTTCAATATTCAACCCACATTGAACCCCGACTTCTCCTTTCCCTCCCGTGCTTCACTCACATTGGGGCCTCTGATGCGCCCAGAGGCATCAAACACCCGTGTCGGTTCGAACCCCGCAAACACCAGCACGATGTTGCTGCCGGGGGGGATAGACCCAGCAGAAGCGGACGGGGCGCCATACCCCTCCCCATACGCCCCTGGCGGAGGGGACTTTTGAGTCAACTCAATAGACCCAGCAGAAGCGGACGGGGCGCCATACCCCTCCAACCAGCCCCACCCAATCCTCTTCCCCTCCCCACCCTGCTTCACTCACATTCGGGCCTCTGATGCGGCCAGACGCGTCGAATTCTCGGGTAGGCTCGAATCCCGCAAACACCAGCACAATGCTGCTGCCAGGGGGGATAGACCCAGCAGAAGCGGACGGGGCACCATACCCCTCCCCATACGCCCCTGGCGGGGGCGCGCCATAGGCGCCACCCGGGGGAGGTGCATATGGGGACGGGGCGGCAGCAGGGTAACCAGCAGGGGAATACGCAGGCGGTGGGTATTTCCCGGGAGGGTACTGCCCGGGCGCCTGGGGGGGGTATTCACCGGGAGCACCCTGCGGGGGAGGGCCATACCCAGGGGCACCCTGAGGGGGATACGGAGCAGGGGCACCAGCAGGAGGGGGGTAGCCTGGGTAACCGTGGGGAGGAGGGGGGCCGTATGCAGGGTCATAGGTGCCTGGAGGGGGGGCGGGATATCCCCCTGGAGGTGCACCATAGGGGGGAGGCTGACCCTGAGGAGGGTAGGACCCAGGCGGGTAGGAGGCAGGCGGGTAGGACCCCGGGGGATAGGACCCGGGAGGGTAGGATCCGGGGGGAGGTGCGTACTGGGGAGGGGCGCCATACCCCTCTCTCTCCCTCTCCCTGTCTCTGTCTCTGTCCCTGTCTTGATCGCGATCCCTGTCCCTGTCTCTGCCTCTGTCCCGCTCCCGATCCCTGTCCCTGTCTCTCCCGTATCGGTCCCGGTCTCTGTCCCTCTCTCTGTCTCTGTCTCTGCCCCTGTCGCTGCGCCCGTACGGATCGTATCTCTCTCTTTCCCGCCCCCTGCCCGCCTCCTGCTCCCTCTCATGCCTCCCGCCCCGCCCCGCCCTGCCGCTGCCGCGAGACGGTCTCGACCGCTCGTCGCCCCACGGCGGACGGCCCGGATCGGCCCGATCGGGCGCCTGGGCCCTGGGCTGCTCTCCTGGCCGTAGATTCATGATGTCGTCGATCATACGGACGGCAGCGTCCACCATCCGCTGCTTCTCCTCCGCCGTCTTGGCCTGCCCACGCGGAGACAAAGGAAGGTGGCGAGGGGGAATGCGGGAGAGGGGGGAACGGGGAGATGGGGTGGGGAAGGGGGGGGGAGATGAGGGAAGGAACACGGCAGCGTCCACCATCCGCTGCTTCTCCTCCGCCGTCTTGGCCTGCCCACGCGGAGACAAAGGAAGGTGGCGAGGGGGAATGCGGGAGAGGGGGGAACGGGGAGATGGGGTGGGGAAGGGGGGGGGAGATGAGGGAAGGAACACGGCAGCGTCCACCATCCGCTGCTTCTCCTCCGCCGTCTTGGCCTGCCCACGTGGCCGTGGCAGGGGGGGAGAGGGAAAGGGGAGAGGGGATAAGGAGAGTGGGGGAAAGCGGGAAAGAGGGAAGGAGGAGAGGGGGGAAGGGGGAAACGGGGGAAGGGGGAACGGGGGGAATGCGGAAAGGGAGAGATGAACAAAAAAAAAGGATAGCAGAGAGGTTCAAGGCAGGAAGGCGACTTTAGTACGTCTCAAAGGAAAATTGCAGACAGGTAGAAGGCAGGGAGACGGGAGGCAGGGTGAGACGGGAGGCAGGGAGACGGGAGGGAGGCAGGGAGACGGGAGGGAGGCAGGGAGAGGGGAGGCAGGAAGAGGGGCGGCAGGGAGAGGGGCGGCAGGGAGAGTGGCGGCAGAGAGACGGGCGGCAGGGAGAGGGGCGGCAGGGAGACACAGGCGTACCTCGGAAGATGGAGACACGTGCAGATACAATGGACGGTCGCGATTCTTCGGATCGTTCATGTTGCAGAACTTGCCCCTGGGGTAAGGCGGGGCGGACATGCAAGCAGGCGGACATGGGGGAAGCGCACATGGGGGAGTGCACATGGGGGAAGCGCATATGGGGGAAGCGCACATGAAGCAATGAGTCGTGGGAGAAGAGAACAACGGGGGAAGCTGAGAGCACCACTCTGGAGACTTCTCAAAAGACGGACATGGGGGAAGCGCGCATGAAGAAACGAGGCGTGGGAGAAGAGAAGAGAACAACGGGGGGAGCTGAGAGAGAGCAGCGCAACAACAAGAGCTGATGAATCGCGATGCAAGTCGCAGCTCAAAGCGCAGGTGGAAATTCGCGCCCGTCGGGTTTTGACCGTCTCAAGACTTTAGACACGCAGCAACAAGAACTGAAGACACGCGTAAGCAAGACAACAAGTCAGCAGAACGCAAGTCAAAACGAGTACAGTGCAGAGCGCACACCTGGTGGAAATTACTGCGATTTTTTTGTCGACTCAAAAAATCGTCTCATCACACGAGTGCAGAGCAGAGCGCATACCTGGTGGAATTGACTGCGATTTTTTAGTCGACTCAAAAATCGTCTCATCACACGAGTGCAGAGCAGAGCGCATACCTGGTGGAAATTACTGCGCCCGTCTTGCGGTGAATCTGCAGTTAATAACAAGTAAGGAAGATAGTAAGGAAGATAGTAAGGAAGATGCGGCAAGGGGAGGGAAGGGGTGGCAAGGAGGTGGCACAGGATGTGAGGGGGTGGCACGGGATGGCACGCAGGCACAAGGAAAACGACGCAGAAACACAGACGCCGAGGCAAGACACAAACGCTTGCTACTAATACTAAATTAGTATTGAGGTGCCTGATTGTATTGCAGGTAAAGCGACGATTTTCCAGGCGCCTTAAAAGAAACACAGATGCCGAGGCAAGACGCACACGTATGCTAATGAGAGTTAACACGGGCGTATCTCATCATCGCCCTGCTCCTTCTCATGCCCTGATTCCCCTCATCGCCCTTCCTCCCTCTCACTGTCTCTATCGAATGAGTGATTAACACAAATCAGGGTTTTGTGACGGGAGTCTACCAAAGAGGCAGACCATGGATGTGTGGCAAAATTACTCACATCGTCTTGAGTGCCGCGGCGCGTGAGCTGGTAACGCACGTTAGGGTTACACTCGTTAATCACCACCTCCTTAACAATCTCCTCCGGCGGCGGTTTTCCCGGCGGCCCTGCCGCCGCCGTTTCCGGCTTCCGCTGCACGCCTATCCCGCGCTTCGCTAACTCCTCGTTCACTTGCCGAGCCATCATCTCAGCCCTGGCCTTGGCGTCGTCCAGGTTCGGACCTGGAGCTGCCGAGCCAGTAAGGCCCGGGATCTGGCCTGACATCATCCCCGGCATTCCCAGGAGAGAAAGTCCGGTAGGGACGGGTTTTCCCGCGGCTGCTAGCGACGCGGCGACGGCGGCTGCCGCGGCGATTGCGGCAGGGGAGGTTCCGGAGGGGATGGTAGAGAGTGCTGCGGCTGCTGCAGCTGCTGGATCTGCCGCTTGATCCCATTTGCTCCGCTTTCTGGGAGGTTAATAGAAATAAAAAATCGAAGAGAAGGAAGTAGGAGAAAAAAAGTTTTGGATTTAGGATGGTAGGCGAGAAGAAAAAAAAGAACGAAGAACGAAGATGACAGTTTGAGAAGCATATTTGGTTCATATAGACTTATCCCTCGCTGAAGAAACTGTAAGCGCAGATGGCAGGGTAAGAACGGAAAGATGCAAGATGAGACAACCGAGAGGAAAAAAAGGACACGGAAAACCCCCATAGAAACGATGTACGCACTTATCAGCGGAAGAGTCCGCCATGGTGCGAGAATGGATTCAATAGAGGAAACTAGGAACAATGCTGTATGACCAGAAGATATTTCATCAGGGGCAGGTGGCAGTGGGCAGGAGGAGCTGGTCGGATTACCGCGATGTAAAGTGAATCGTAAACCCCAATTGTATCCACTATGCAGCATTGAAAGAATCCAGTAAGTAAAATGGGAAGTATAAGAAGCATGGTTTGGCTCACAAGAAGCTGATGACATTGAAAACATTTTAGCGTACGTTGAAGAACAGACACCAATACACGAATTCATACTCGGTACAAGGCTGATGACCACGTTTGGTGAACTTCAAGCATGACACAAGTTCGATTGCCACGCGGGAAACGACTTCGGCCTTTCGACAGCGAATGAGATGGCACGGGCGGAGACACAAGCTTGCGGGGGAAGCTTGCCCCCTGCAATTTGGATGCAACTCTCTTTCATCTGTCGTTTAGCTGTTGTCGTGTAGCCAGAACAACGGTCTCCATGCCCGCCTACGGTCAGCTGATAAGTTGACTGTGGCACGTGGTGAACAAGCGCCTTGATTTCGCGGCTTGTTGAAAACGCATGCACTCCTGGTGAAGGAAATTCTTGAAGCCGACCAATCGTGGACTGACACAAGGCTGCCCGTGAGCCAAATGCTGGTCTAACCGTGGCAGTGGCAGCAGCATTTTCAAGCCGGTCAGCCAAGCTTAACAGTCCGAATCGAAGGATTTCATGTTTACATAATTTCCCGCGTAGTTTCGCAACCACTCCCCCTCCCGCACCGCCTCGTCCCTGCCACCGCCAACCACCCCAATCTCCGCACGAAAACACGAGCCTTCCTACTACATTACGTCACATGAGGGACGATGACCTTTCTGTTTCTCCAAACGAAACCTCGGAAGAGCGCGGTATACCTTTCCGCCGTCCCTCGTTCTCGAGTCCAGCTCCCCTGCCCGTTCCCCCCATGCCCCCGAGACCTACCCAACCCATTCCCTCAAGTCTTTCCCCCCATTCCCCCGACCTTCCAGAACCATCTCCGCCAAACGTCACTCGACGACGACACGCCCCTCACTACTCACATATCTGAGAGAATTGCTCCAGGGCCTTGTTTGGTGATTCGCTCTTGCCCACGTGTCCCCGAATTGCTCGCGTGGCCATCCAATTCAGTGATAATTGCTCGAGTGGCCACGCCAGGGCATTTTCGAGGTGTTTTTTTCCCCGGCACATTACCCTACAAGGGTTTGTACCCCCGAAATTCCTTTTCTGCACGAGTCTCATCCCATGATAGTGTTTTGTACTATTCCCCACCCGAAAACGAAAGTATCATGTAAGTATGCAGTTAGTGATAGGAAGGGGTGCTAGAGGCCTAAAACGGTATAAGTCCTAGTATCCACTTCATGAGTTATCGATCCCTAACTTAGCGTTCTGACTGACATATCGAGAGGAATATGTCTGGCATATGACATGGTTTAGTTGGTGCCCGTGTTTGGGTTGAGCTTCGTACCTCACGCGCGATTAGATGGTTACCGTATTTCGTTTGTAAATTTGTGATGTTACAAGGGCTTTATTTGTATTTCGCGCATTGTACTCAGGCGCAGATCGTTAGGGTCGCGATGTAACCGCAAAGCCGAACTTACCGAAATGTTCACAGTTGAAATGCGCATATCATAACCTGTCAACCGCGCAAGATGGAATAACGCCCATACGCATATGACGCTTATATGCGCGGACCAATCAAACGCAAGCCAAAGATGACCGGTCATATTTGTATGACTGTCAAATAAGCTCGATTGCATATGAACCGCTCATATGCACGGACCAATCAAATGCGATTCGGAAATGACCGGTCATATCCCCATGCGATTTGACCAGGCATATGCGCGTGTTATGCCCGGTCATATGCACGTGATTTATGCCCGGTCATTTGTCGAGGTATGATCTGAGCGATCTGTAGCATATGTTTCAAATCATAATGCGCGGGAAGATGATACAGGCATACCAAACCAGATTGAGCGTTTTAATTTGAACATAATTGGCCAGAGTTTATGTTTGTGCGAGTATTTTTAGCATATGATTGGCGAGATCATATAGTAAATTGAGTTTCATTTGCGCGGTCAAATATGATCGCAATCCTTAATGATGGCACGTGATTGGACGCATAATGCCAACAATTGCACCGCGCATATTATTGGCGAATCATGCGCGGTCGTTAGGGCTGTTTCGGTTTGATGCTGGTCAATTGAGGTTTATGATCGCGGATTTATATGCTCGAGCGGTTATTGGTTACGAATTTGTTTGACCGCGCGCTCATTGGTCGCGCATTGGGCCGAAAATTACCGCGCATCTGCTGCTGGTCGTGCATTTTTGTTGGTTTTGTGAACAGTGTGTGGGCAAAGTTCGCGCCCGCCACCCACCCGAAATTTTCGGGTGGGGAATATTACGAAACACTACCACGTGATGAGACTCGTGCAAATGAGGAATTTCGGGGGTACAAACCCTTGTAGGGTAATGTGCCAGGGAAAAAAAACACCTCGAAAATGCCCTGGGGTGGCCACTCGAGCAATTATCACTGAATTGGATGGCCACGCGAGCAATTCGGGGACACGTGGGCAAGAGCGAATCACCAAACAAGGCCCTGGATCAATTCTCTCCACGTATCTCCACTTCCCCATCACTCTCTGCTTCACTTATCCCTAGTCGCCTGCATCCACTTACAAATAGAAGTGAGCTTCTTTTGCACCTCAATCTTCGCTTCAAGTCCTCAATCTTGGCAGTCGAATTCCCACATCCATCACCTTCACTGACGAACCAAGTAAATTATCTCCTTCCTCTTCTCTGCTAAACTGACATCTTTCCGCCGAAGTCGGCCGCTAGATGTCCTTTTAGCTGAGCAAGCAGGCAACTCTCATCACGATTTCGATTTGAACTTTTCAACACGTGTTTCTAATGGCAACTGCTGGCAGCCAAGCTGTTTCCTCCATCCACGGCGCGGCCTTCGCCCATCCCCTCGTTCACGACGTCAGCATCATGAGATCCAACGCGGCGCTGGGCGACGCGCTGGCGACGGCGGAGCGAGCCATCGCAGGCCTCGCGCAGGTAGTCGACGTCGTCAAGCGTCGCCACTCCGCGCCGTCGCAGTGTCATTCACTCGCCGCCCCTCCGCCGCAGTTCCGTTTTTATCAGCCGCTGCCTTTCCAAGCCAGCTACGTCCCTTGCGCCGCTCCTCTCCCCGCATCTGCCGCCGCATCTCCCGCGTCCTCCTCTGTCTCCCAGCATTCCGCCGGCCCCCGCCCGCGTGTCGCCATCCCTCGCTCAATCGCCTTTTCCGGCTCCAAGCGCAGCGCGGCGGCGCTCGCGACCACCTCAAGACCCGCGCCGCCGCGTGCAAAGCGGGCAAAGCGCGCCAAGCGCTTCGCAACCCCTGAATCTGCTCCGCCCCCGCTCGTCCCTTCCAGCGGCTCCGACTGCGAGTCGGAGACAAGCGGCTCGTCGACTTCGCCGCAAACTGAAGCTCCCGTCGCAGGTGCCGTCGCAGAAGCTGTCGCAGGGCCCGTCGCATACAAGGGCGTGCGACAGCGCAAGTGGGGCAAGTGGGTGTCGGAGATCCGCGAGCCGAACAAGCGCACGCGCATCTGGCTGGGGTCGTTCGACTCGGCGGAAGACGCCGCGCGCGCCTACGACGTCGCCGCGCGCCTGCTGCGCGGATCCCAGGCGGCGCTCAACTTCCCCGGAGATGACACCCATTCCGTTCCGCTTCCGTCGGCGACGGCAGAGGCGCTTCTGAAGGCGAGCCGCGAGGCGGCGAAGACGTTCGATACGGCCGACGTGGCTGATGTGCTGGAGAAGTCGCTGCTTGCTACTAACGGAGCTCTTCTTGGCGCGGATATCACAATTCAGCTCCCGAAGGCTGGACTTGCGGGGACAGCTGCTACAGATGCAGCTGTAGCAGCAGCGGATGGCGCCGCTACAGCTGATGAGTCTCCTTCCACTTCTGATCTGACGACTAACAGCGTGTTCGACAATATCCCCGCCGATTCAATCCCCGCCGTTGATGGCCTCTCCGCGCCTCTCCGCAGCGCCAGTGGAGTCAGCATTGCCTGCAGCGAGAGTGACAGTATCGAGTCGCTTCTGACGGATCTGGAGGAGCAGCACGGCGCTGAGCTGGCGCTGACGGAGGCTGAGCTGTCGGGGAGCCTGTTTCAGGGTGTCATGGAAGATTTTGACCTGGCAGCTGCGTGTGGTGACGTGGAAGGGTTTGAGGGTGCTGCTGACTTCACCATGGACCTGTGGGCGTGAGATACCGTAAACGTGTTTGGATGTGGAATGTGGTACAGCTGCGTATCCAGATTCAGGTTAGGGTTTTGCTCATGGTTTGTTAGTGTGACACGTTCCTGGACACTCGGTCTGGGGGGGTCTATGTGTGGTTCATAAGGCTGTGCAGGGTATCATGTGGCTACTGGCTGAAGAGAATCATGCAGAGAGCACAGCTTGTGGCACGCAGATACTCTAGCGTCGCCTGCTTAGGTCTTGTGCTGTGCTAGCTCTATGATTCCGGTCACATGATGCTCTGCAAGATGTACCTTACAAGGACCCTTGTAATCAGGCTTTCTGCTCACTCCTAAGCATGGCTTGAGCTCCATAATGCCACTAAGATTTTTGATGATAATTCTATCTTTGTGCATCTTTGTGCATCTTTTTGTGCATCTTACCTGGAAGATGATTCGGTCTGTGGCTGTGGATTTTTCATGTGCACACGCGATATTGCACCTCCGAAACTCATAGCGCACCAGCACCTTCCCTATGGCGAACACAGCGAACTGACCATCCTTTTGAGGCCACGTCAACAGAACCAGAGTTGATTGTGTTGCGACCTGCAACCGAGCCGAACCCAAATCAACCACGAAGAGACGGAATCTAATCCACCAGTTCCTCTCCTCTCCTCTCCTCCCCTCACCTCAGCTCATCACGCGCTGTTGGCTGTCGGCTGTACTGTGTTCCATGCTCTGTACGTACTGTAGTCCCGTAACTCCCCGTACTGTAACTCCCCGCCCGCCTCTCCTCTCCCCTCCCCGTAGCATTCGCCCCAGGTTCCTCTACTCCCCTCCCTCACTCCTCCTCACCCCACCCGCAGTTGCCAAAGCTGGACATTTACCCGTCTGGTTTGCGCTGGTCCCGCAGAGTCGGGAATGTTTCTTTAGCTCGAGTGTGCATAACGAGGATGAATGCAGTATCCGTAGGAGGAGAAACGGGCTGACGACGACGAAGCTCCACCCAGTGACGACGACTTTTATCCGTCTGATTCGGCGGCGGGTCCCTCGCGAACTTTATCTTCAGCTTGAGTGCAGAACGACGATGAATGCAGTATCAGGAGGAGGAGTAGGAGGAGCGATGAGCTGACGACGGCTTAGCTCAGCCTTCAAAACCTTCATTCGCGACCCGTCATTCGCGACCCGTCATTCGCGACCCGTCACTTGCGATCAACTGCGATAGATTCCCCTCGTCGCAACTCCTGACTCGACTGGTAACATATACGAGCGAATCGCGTGGTACTCCCTAACAACCTACTCGCTATGGTTGCGCGAAACCAGGGACGTGCGGGCGCCGCAGGCACCCCGGGTAACGCGGGGAACAATCAGCAGCGTATAAGATCTCCTCAGGAGATTCCTCAAAGCATCTTGCGCTCCATGATGACGTCAGCGGCGGGGCTCGTCCCCCCGCCGCCGCATTCGCCGGTTCCCACCTTAGATCTGGCCAGCGCTAGTAGCATCTTCGCGCTCCTTAATCCGGATGTAGCCGCGGCGCGACTCGGCGGAATGGCGCAAGCTGGTAACGGCGGTCGCGGCGGTACTGGCGGCGGCATTAGCGGCGGCAGTAGCGGCGGCATTAGCGGCGGTACTGACGGCGGTTTCCGCGGCAGCGGTGGAAGCGGGGCGAGGCAAATTCTGGGCTCCGCAGGGGCAGGTGGTTCGCTTCCGGTCGCGGCGGCGGCACGAGCAGCGCCGCATTCGGCGCCGTCTGTTCCGCCGCCGCGCCCGCCGGCGGCGGTATGGCCGGCGGCTCAGCAGATTGGGGCGCATCTGACGGCTAGCTGGGGGAACACGGGGCCCGAGACGGTCAATGCACTCGTTACAAGCAATCGCGGATCCGTTGTAAGCATACCTGGTGGTAGTAACGGGGACAGGTCTATGGGTAGTGGCGATAACCAATGTGGCACATGGGCCCTGGGGCAGGTAGGTCTTTCCTCTGGAAATGTTGGTGGAACTTTCCAGACGATTCAGCCAGCTGCACAGGCGTTACTCGGTCAGGTGAATCCTCGGGTGAATAGTCAGGTGGCTCCTCCGCGCCCTATCGCGGAGTTGCTTCTGGGCCAGTATCTTTTGGCTCAGCAGCAGCAGCAGCAGCAGCAGCAGCAGCAGTGGCAATTAGGCAGTAGATTAGATTCGCCCTGCCTACCTTTGCCACGCACCACCACAACCGCAGCAGCGAATGCGACAAATCTTGCCGCCCGCACTGTTTACAGAACCCCCTCTGGCACGAGCAGCGGCACTGCGGTGCAAATGAGCATAGGCAACACGTCCCTCTCGTTACAGTCACAACCCAGCCCCATGTCAGTGGCGGCGTTACAGTCACAACCCAGGCCCATGTCCGTGTCTGCAGCAGACTATCTTGATCTCGCTGCGTGCGCCTCCCTCCCCCAAGCCAGCAGCCCTTCCCTCTCCTCCCAGCCACCACTGCAACGTGGCACACCAACAGGAGCAGTAGGAGTGGGAGTGGGAGTGGGAGTAGGAGGAGCAGGAGCAGGAGTAGGAGCGGGAGTAGGAGCAGGAGGAGCAGCAGGAGGAGTAGTAGGCTATGCAGCAGAAATTCGTTCTGGAAGCAGGTTTGGCATGGGCTTGGGGGCAGGGGCGGCTATGGTTGCTGGTAGATCCGCGTCTGCAGAGGGATTGCGTCCGTTGAGCATGTATGCTGGGGGAGGAGCAGCTGTTGGAGCGATGCCAGCGACAGCGTTGCCAGCAGCGGCAATGCCAGTGCCAACAGCAGCAGTGGGAACAGAAGTGGCAGCGGAAGGCATGCGTTCCTTGGGTGCGTTTGGCGGAGGCGAAACGGCACGTGGGGCATCAGCAGGCGGAGTCCCATCAGCAGCACCAGCAGTGGCAGCAGAAGCAGCAGTGGAAGCGGAGGTGCATTCTCTAGAGGCTCTAGAACGGCTTCTGAATCTGGACTCTTCGTATGTGCCCCATGCATCTACTCTTCATGCGCCGTCGGAGAATTTTCAGAATGCCGAAAGGTCGAGTGAGCAGGTGCGAGAACAGGTGCTGGATTTAGACTCGGCTGGTGTGCTGCTGGGGCGAGTGGAGCGGCTGAGAGCGCAGCTGGTGGAGAGGAAACGGCTGCTGGAACAGCAATCGATGCTGCAGCAGCAGCAGCAGCAGCAGCAGCAGCAACAACAACAGCAACAACAGTCTCAGCAGCAGCAGCAGATGCAGCAGCATCAACAGCAGCAGTTTCAGCAGCAGCAGCAGCAGCAGCAGCAGCAGCAGCAGCAGCAGCAGCAGCAGCAGCAGCAGCAGCAGCAGCAGCAGCAGCAGCAGCAGCAGCAGCAGCAGCAGCAGCAGCAGCAGCAGCAACAGCAACAGTTTCAGCAGCAGCAGCAGCAGCAACAACAGCAGTTTCAGCAGCAGCAGCACTTTCAGCAGCATCTGCAGCAGGAGCAACAACAGCAACAACATCAGCAGGTGCAGCAGCAACAGCAGCAACAACAGCATCAGTTTCAGCAGCAGCAACAGCAACAACGACAACAGCAACAGCAGCGGCAGGAGCAGCAGCAGCAGCAGCAGCAACAAGAGCAGCAGCAACAAGAGCAGGGCGAGGTGTTTCTCCAGCAGCTGCAACAGCTGCAGCGGAGAGAGCTGCAGGCGCTGCTGCTAATGCATCTGCAGAAAGAGATGCTGGAGCAGCAGAAACGTGTGCACGCACAGGGGCAGGGGGAGGGGCAGGGGCAGGGACAGGGGCAGGGGCAGGGGCAGGGGCAGGGGCAGGGGCAGGGGCAGGGGCAGGGGCAGGGGCAGGGGCAGGGGCAGGGGCAGGGGCAGGGGCAGGGCAGGGGCAGGGGCAGGGGCAGGGGCAGGGGCAGGGGCAGGGGCAGGGGCAGGGGCAGGGACAGGGGCAGGGGCAGCGGCAGGAGCAGGCGCAAGGGCAGGGGCAAGGGCAAGGGCTGGGACAAGCACACGGGGAGGGGCAGGGGCAGGGGCAGGGGCAGGGGCAGGGGCAGGGGCAGGGGCAGGGGCAGGGGCAGGGGCAGGGGCAGGGGCAGGGGCAGGGGCAAGGGCAAGGGCTGGGCCAGGGGCAAGGGCAAGGGCAAGGGCTGGGCCAGGGGCAAGGGCAAGGGCAAGGGCTGGGCCAGGGGCAAGGGCAAGGGCAAGGGCTGGGCCAGGGGCAAAGGGAGGCCACGGTGCAGCAGGCACAGCTACAGCGACAGCTACAGCAAGCAGTCCAGCTACAGCCGTCACAGCATCACATGGAGCAGCAGGTTCAGCTACAACCGTCACGGCAGCAGGAACAGCTACAGCCGTCACAGCAGCAGGTGCAAGCACCGCAGACACTAGCAGATCTGCAGCGAATGCTATTGGCGGGAGGGTTGAACACTCCCCTTCAAGCATCCTTGCAGCAGCAGCAGCAGCAGCAACGGCTACAGCTGCAGCCACAGCCACAGCTACAGCCACAGTTACAGCAACAGATGCAGCCACATGTACAGAATCAGGTTGTAGCAGTGCATGGGGTGAGCAATGCAGGAGGAGGCGAAGGGCGATTGGGATCAGAAGCAAGTGGAGAACCAGTGACAGGAGGAGCTATGGCAGGAATGACAGTGCAGATGCTACCTGCCGGGTCACCACCACCAGCGGCAACAGCAACAGCAGCAGCTGTTGTTGCAGTGCCAGCATCGGCAGCAGAAGCACTGCCAAGAGCGGGTATTTATTACACAGGCGGAAGCCCAGCGTCCACCGGGCAACTCACGCGAGCAGCACCGGATGCGATGGAGTGGAACAGCCCAATCCAAAGCGCAGTATCCGCACCAGTGGCATCGCCTCCGCGTTTTGAGGCATCTCAAAACCCAATCCGTAGCATAATAGTCTCGGCAGTGGCATTGCCTCCAGAGGCTATGGGTCTCAGTGCTGGCGATTTGCAATCCAACACAGCAGCAGCAGCAGCAGCAGCAGCACCACCACCACCACCAGCAGCAGGAGCAGGAGCAGCAGCAACAGTAGGAGCAGTGGTGTCAGCAGCAGTGCCAGGGGTTATGGGACTCAGTTCGGGTGAGTTGCCTTCCAACACAGCAGCAGCAGAGGCATCATTGCCGGAGGTTTTGAACCTGAGTGGGGGTGAGCTGCCGCCGAACCTGGCGGCAGCAGTGGAGGAATTGCAACGAGTTTTAGCGTCCTCCCAGCAGCAGCAGCAGCTGCTGGATCGGCACTCCCAACAGCACACACAGGAGCAGCAGCAGCAACAGTCACCACAGCAGCAGCAAATGGCGCAGCAGCAGACACAGCGGGGGCAGGAGGACAGACAGAGGGCAGCGCAGCAGGAGGGAGGGGAGGGTGTAGGGGGAATGGGCGGTTTCGGTGTGATTGTAAACGAGGAGGGCTTATCGAAGGGCACGTGGTTACCAGAGGAGGATCGGGTGCTGATGGAGTATGTGGAGTGTTACGGGGCCAAGAACTGGGGTAACCTGGTAACCAAGGGGCTGCTGAGACGCTCTGGAAAGAGTTGTAGGCTGCGATGGGTGAACCAGCTGAAGCCGGGCCTGCAGGTACGGGATGAGTCGAACCAGGTCTTCGAGCGAGGGGTCTATCATTGACCTAGACCACCACCGTGTTTGTTATTATGACCAAGTGAGGAAAATTATCCAGAGGGGGAGGTTCTTCTTGAGTCGCTCCCATGCTGCTTATCTGGCTGCGTTGCATCTCTGTGTGGAGAATGTCAACTTATTTGAGGCCGAAAAGCTTTTGTAAGTTTTCTTTTGGGGAAGCTTTCAAAAGCTTTTCGGCCTCAAATAAGCTGACATCCTCCACACAGAGCTGCAACGCAGCTTGGGAGCGACTCAAGAAGAAACTCCCCCTCTGGATCATCTTCCTCACCTGGTCATAATAACAAACACGGTGGTGGTCTAGGTCAATGATAGACCCCTCGCTCGAGCTACTCCCCAACATCACCTGGATGCTGAAGAGTTTATTATAGTGCAGGGCACTGTTGCAAGTGAGACGGTGGTTACGTGAGAAGCTGCAGGCATGGCAAGGAAATGTTTTTTCCAATTCTTGCAGTGTTCTTTTCCCACCCAATGTCACAGTGGATGCTGCTGACTCGGCTCCAACCAGTCCTCCTCCCATCAGCTTCCCGCCTTGCTCATTCCTTTGTGCCCCTTCCGCCCTTTGTTTGCAGAGGTACGGTGGCAAGGGCTGTAAGCGCTTCTCTGAGCACGAGTCCAACATTGTGCTCGCTCTCCAGGTAATGCCCTTGTGAGGCACTGCTCTCTAGGTAATGCCCTTGTGAGGCACTACCCTACAGGTAATGCCCTTGTGAGGCACTACCCTACAGGTAATGCCCTTGTGAGGCACTACCCTACAGGTAATGCCCTTGTGAGGCACTACCCTGCTTAAGTGCCACGTCTATTTGTAAGATAGGCTGCAAGCGGTTCAGAGAGGCGATTTTTGAGTCGACTTTTGAGTCGATTTTTGAGTCGACTTTTAAGTCGATATTTGAGTCGACTCAAAAATCGCCTCATCACACGCGGATTGTGCGTGGAGAGAATGTTTGTTGCGTGGAAAATTGGTTGTAACCTGCAGCGGTTACTGGTGCGCGCGCGACTTCCGAAGTTGCCCCTTGGCGAAAATCTGAACCCAACCCTTCACGCTGACACTTTCGAGGAAGTTGAAGACTTGGCTGCCTGAAGTTTTCGAGGGTGGTCTGGATTGGTCCCCGTCATTTGGGTGACCTGGGTGTGGATAGCCTAGAGTTCGCTTTCTTAGAGGCCTTGCTTCTCTTTAGAGGCATTGCTTAGCCCTTCTTTCTCATTGTTGGCACTGATGAAGGTCTGATCGGGTTTTTCCCCCGTGATAGGCCGAAACATGTTTGTCCCTGTTTTACTCTACTGCTAAGAATTTGGGTTCTGAGATCGTTTTGAGCTCTTAGCTGTACACAGAGTGGAAATCTACTGCTGTTTTTTCCTTTGCTTTAAGCCTACTGCACGCACGCAGCTCACTGAGCTATGTCTGGATCTCGGCTGCAAGCGGTTCAGAGAGCAGGAGTCCAACCCTGTCCTCGCCTCGATTTGAGACGTCTCAAAAAGAGAGCAGGAGTCCAACCCTGTCCTCGCCTCGATTTGAGACGTCTCAAAAAGAGAGCAGGAGTCCAACCCTGTCCTCGCCTCGATTTGAGACGTCTCAAAAAGAGAGCAGGAGTCCAACCCTGTCCTCGCCTCGATTTGAGACGTCTCAAAAAGAGAGCAGGAGTCCAACCCTGTCCTCGCCTCGATTTGAGACGTCTCAAAAAGAGAGCAGGAGTCCAACCCTGTCCTCGCCTCGATTTGAGACGTCTCAAAAAGAGAGCAGGAGTCCAACCCTGTCCTCGCCTCGATTTGAGACGTCTCAAAAAGAGAGCAGGAGTCCAACCCTGTCCTCGCCTCGATTTGAGACGTCTCAAAAAGAGAGCAGGAGTCCAACCCTGTCCTCGCCTCGATTTGAGACGTCTCAAAAAGAGAGCAGGAGTCCAACCCTGTCCTCGCCTCGATCTGCATGTGATGATACTCTACTGCTCTGCGTGTAATGAGTCGTGTTTTGAGTCGACTCAAAACGCTACTTGTAAGACTGGCTTCAAGCGGTTCACAGAGCAGGAAGAAATTTAACCCTGTCCTCGCTCTGCAGGTGATGATACTCTACTGCTCTTTCGCTCTCAGTCAATCACACAAACTACTTTTGAGATGTCTCAAAAGTCAGTCAATCACACACCTGCCTGCCCAGCTGAGTGACGCCCACACGCCTCCATCCTTCTCTTGCTTTTCCCTTCATTTGCCTTCTCCACCCTCTCCGATCCCCCTTCTCCCATCGCCTACCCCCACGCTGAGTAACAAGTGAGCGCAGATCGCGAGGCACCTGTCCATTACTGACAGCACCTGCCACCAGGGCGGACGGACGCCCAGAGACGTTTCCCCTTCTCACGCCCACTTCTCCCTCCCAACCCCCTCCTCCCCTCCTTCAGGAGACGCTGGGCAACAAGTGGGCGCAGATCGCAAGGCACCTGCCGGGGCGAACAGACAACGATGTGAAGAACTTTTGGAACCTGCACCTCAAGCGGATGCAGCGGCTGCGACGGCAGAGGGAGCAGAAAGGGAGACATGCTGGTAGTAAAAGTGATGCTGGTGGTGGCGGTGGCGGTGCTGCTGCTGAAAGTGAGGAGGCTGCTGCTAGTGGCGGTGCTGCTAGTGGCAGTGCTGCTACAGGTGCTGCTGTTGCTGGTGGTTCTGCTGGTGGCTCTGCTGGTGGTGCTGATGGTGCTGGTAGTAAAGGTGATGCTGGTGCTGGCGGTGGTGGTGGTGCTGCTGCTGCTGCTGCCAATGGCGATGCCTGTGCTTCTTCTGCTGCTGTCCCTGCTGATGGCGCTGCAGTTTCAGCACCTGCTACTGATTCTGCGACTGCTGCTATTGATGCTGCTACTGCTGCTGCTTGTGCTACTGCTGCCGCTGCTGTGTCTGCAGGAAATACAGAAGATACGACCAATGAAGGTGTTGAAGGGAACGGTGCTGGGAGTGGTGCTGGGGGGAATGAAGTGCTCAGTGAACACAGCTGGAGATCAGAAGGTAAGGGGAAGCTGGAGGCAGTAACGGACGGCGCAACAGCAATCGAGAGAGCATCAGCAAGGGGGAACGTAGCAGCAGCCAGCGCAGCAGCAGCAGCAAGCAAAGGTAGCACAGGTCACATGACTGCGCAAGGTGGGAGCAGCAGCAGCGGCAGCAGCGGCGGCGGCGGCGGCGGCGGCGGCGGCGGCGGCGGCGGCGGCGGCGGCAGAAGCGGCAGGCTTGCCGTGCTTGAGAGCACGAGCCTGTCTCCCTCCTTCTTCCTCTTCTCCCCGAGCTCCTTCACCTCCCCCATGTCTATCAGCCCGCTGCCCACCATCCAGGAAGGCCCGGACGCCCTTCATACCCGAGAAGGGCTGGATGCTGTTGTTCAGATGCATGGCGGTGTGGGTCAGGTGCAAGGAGGTGTGCCTTTTGAGACGTCTCACAAGTCCCTTCATACCCGAGAAGGGCTGGATGTTGTTGTTCAGATGCATGGCGGTGTGGGTCAGGTGCAAGGAGGTGTGCCCTCTGATGCTGCATTGGAATGGGGCGTGGCTACGGCTGCTCATGCTGCTGCTGGTGATGCTGTCGGTGAGGTTCCCACAGTTTGGCTGCAAGAGCCGAAGCACCAGCAACAGCAGCAACATCAACAGCAGCAACATCGACAGCAGCAGCAGCAGCAGCAAGAGCACCAGCAACAGCAGCAACAGCACCAGCAACAACAGCAGCTGCAGCAGCAGCAACAACAAAAGCAGCATCAGCAGCAGCAGCAGCAGCAGCAGCAGCAGCAGCAGCAGCAGCAGCAGCAGCAGCAGCAGCAGCAGCTTGAATGGGAGCAAGAGCAACAACATCAGCAGCATCTGCAGCAATATCAACTTCAACAGCGGCAGCAGCTACACCAGCCACCAGCTCAGCCGTTCTCTGAAGCACCTCAAAAGCTCAGGCACAACCCGAGAACGATCCTGCAGCCCACACTACCACCAGCAGAGAAGCAGCTTTTACACCAGCCGCCAACACAGTTGCCAGCATCGGCTCAAGCATTCCCTGAGGCACCTCAAAAGCTCAGGCACACCCAGAGGACGATTCGGCAGCCACCACTACCGCCAGCAGAGAAGCAGCTTCTACACCAGCCGCCAGCGCAGGTGCCGGCATCGGCTGTAGCGCGGCCGCAGGCAGTGAGGCGAAGCAGGACAGGGGAGCAGCGGCCTAAGGTGTCACTGCACCAGAGGAGGCTCCAGAGAAATGCTTCTGCTAGTGCTGTGGCTGGAGGTGGGGGCAGTGAGAGGGCTGGCAGTGGTGCGAGCGGTGCTAGCGGTGGGAGCCGTGGGAGTGGTGAGAGTGGTGGGACTGGTGGGGGGTCTGCGAGTTTTGGGGGGTCTGTGAGTGGTGCGAGTGGCGGGGAGGATGGTGGTGTGACGGAGGGAGGGGAAGGAGGAGGGGAGCAGCGGGTGCTGCGAGCGAGCAGCCTGCCAAATGTGCCCAGAGCTGGGAGCTGGAGGGATGGTGGGAGCTTTGGAGGAGCGATTGGGAGCTTTGGAGGGGCGGATGGTGGGAGGTGGACGATGGGAGAGGCGGCAGCGGCTGCTGTCGCTGCTGTGGGTGAGTGTCAGCAGGATGTAGCAGCTGTTGCCGCTGCTGGTGCTGATGCTGCGGTTGTTGCTGATCCTGCTGCTGTTCCTGCTGGTGCTGATGCTGCGGTTGTTGCTGATCCTGCTGCTGTTCCTGCTGCTGCTGCCGCTGCTTCTGCTGCCACTGCTGCTGCTGCCATCGCAATGGGTCATGATCCCACCGCTCTGGCGACCAGTGATAGCACTTGGAAATATTCCAGTCCACCTGCACATCAGCCAGCTGGGCCTGCTGCAGGAACTATCCAACAATCCAAGCATACGTCGGAACCTTCAACCACTCGAGAACGAACAAGCTCTCCTGTCGCTGCTCCTCCTGGTTCTGTGCTTGTTAGCTCAACTCCTCTGATAAACTCTGCACCCGGAGCTCCTTCTGCTGCTGCCAGTAGTGATGGCGTTGATGCTGGTGCTAGTGGCGCTGGTGCTGGTGCTGGTGCTGGTGCTGGTGCTAATGCTGAGGGTGCTGCTGGTGCTGCTGGTGCTGCTGGTGGTGCTGATGGTGCTGGTGGTGGTGGTTCTGGTGCTGGTTCTGGTGCTGCTAGTGCTGCTGGTGCCACTGCGGCTGATGGGAATGCAGCTGCTGCTGGTGCAGGGTCAGCAGATCGGCCGGCAGCAATGGACACGGAGGAAAGTGCGGATAAGATTTCATCCCTCAAAATTGGTGAGCTCAACAGCACAGCCTGTCTGTGTTTGGTGTGGGTTTGGGTTTGGGTTTGGTTGTGACATTTGAGTCGACTCAGATTCCTTCCCTCGAAATCGGTGAGCTCAACAGCACAGCCTGTCCGTGTTTGGCTGTGGGTTTGGGTCTGGTTGTGGATTCTGGAATCTGGCTCCCTTTTGGGTCTGTTCTTGGGTTTCGCCTCTTCCTCACCCTCCGTGCTACCCTCCCCCTAGCCCGCTCTCCTCGGCCACCGTTCCTCTGTGGCTTTATGCCCCCACACGCATTGCCTCGTGTCACCCAAGAGGCAAGTCGCACAGGCCAACTCCCTTCCTTTCCCGCGCCTCTGCTTTCCTTCCTCTGCTTCCCCCCCTTTGCCTCCCCTCCCTGCGTCCCCTCCTGCGCCCTCCCCTCCCTCTCCCCTCCCACAGACTGCCACAAGCCTACCAGCAGCGACAGCAGCAGCGGCCCAGTAGCCTCTGGCGAGTTCCTAAACATAGAAGACTGGCTGCAAACCCCCACTCCGCCCCCTCGCCGCACCCCCTGCTCGCCTTTCTACATCAACCTCTCTCCCTCCGCCCGGCGACTGCGCTCCCCCCGCTCCCCCTCCCCCCGCACGGTTGCTCAGCAGCAGCAGTACCCCCCTGCTTCCCCCCGCCCGCTTGCCTCGTGGTTCTCTCCACGATCGGAACGCCTCCCTCCCCGCTCCCACCCGCACTCCCACTCTCACTCACACTCTCACGGTCACTCCCAAAATCACTCTCACAATCAGTCTCATACTCACGCCCACTCGCATGGTAGGGCGGCCCTCCCTCCCCAGAGCAGCCGGGGCAACCGAAGCAGTAGCAGCGGCAGTGGTAGCGGCAGCGGTGCCAGTGGGGGTGCTGGCAGTGGTAATGGCGATGGTGCTGCTGCTGCTGCTGCTGGGGCTGCTGGTGGTGGTGGCAGCGGTGGCAGTGCTGGTAATTCTGGCAGTGATGGCAGTGCTGGTAGCGGTGGCAGCGGTGGTTCTGCCACAGCTGCCAGACCTAACACAGGCACAGCAGCAACACCTGATCCTCCTCCCAGCAACACCAACGCACCCCCCATCCCAGAAAACCCAACCTCTCATCACTCTGCCCCCTCGGACCACTCAATCCCCTCAGACCATTCAGCTCCAGTAATCCCGCTTCCCGACCCGAGTCCCTCTCTCAGCAACATTCCCGCCCGTGCTTTCGGCGAATCGGTAAGTCAGCGCAGCGGGCGGCGCAGCCCACTGGGAGCACTCAAGATCGCCCACCGGTCGGGGTATCTCTGGTCCCCCCGTGCCGCCGTCTCTTCACCCCGCACCAACCACAACTCCTCCTCCTCCTCCTCCCCTTCCCCCAGACCTGGCGGGTCTGGCAGCGCCCTCTCCACCCCCTCCCCCCGCAGCATGCTCTCCCCCTCGTCCCGCCCTTCCCCCCGCCCCTCCCCCCATGGCGGATTGACCTCTCCTTCCCCCCGCGGCCTATCGTCCCCCTCCCCTCGCTCCGTCCACTCTCCGTCTCCACGAGCCTATGGGAGAACAGGACTCGCTCTGCCGTCTCCTCACGCTCATCCCCCATCGGGTCCTTCTCCCCACCCATCCTCCTCGGGTAATCCACCCCACCCATCCGCCTCCGCACGGCCTCCCCGGTCCCGAAGCAGCAGCCCGTGTCCACGTCTGCCCAACAGCCCACTCCATCCCCGCGGGAGTGCTGCTGCTGCTGCTGCTGCTGCTGCCTCCCATCCGCCTGCTGCTCCGTCCTGTCTCGGAGTGCCTGCTTCCAGTGCAAGTGCAAGCACGAGCGCCAGCGCTAGCGCAAACGCAAGTGCGAGTGCAAGCGACAGAGAAAGAGGTGATGGTGGAGAGGGGCAAGGTGAGACGGGGAAGTGTGGAACAATCGTGCATGCTCTACCTGGCGTCAATGCTGGACAGCACACTCCGCCTCCAGTTGACCCGGTTGACCCAGCTGAGCCAGTTAGCTCAATTAATCCAGACTCCAAGAAAGGTGCCAGCTCCATCCTCGCAAATTGTCAGCCTCAGCTTCAGCAGCAGCAGCAGCAGCAGCAGCAGCAGTGGGAGGAGCAGGTGGCAGAAGAATTGCAGGATGGGAGAGGAGGGCAGCAGCAGCAGCAGCAGCAGATGCCCCAGGTGCCACGGGTGCCACAGATGCCGCAGAGAATAGTGCAGCAGATCTTACCATCCGCTGCGGACCTAGAACCAGTCATGCCCGCATACTCCAGCCAATCACTGTGGGGCTTTGTAGCAGAGATCGACGGCCCAGATGCGTTCGCTGGAGGCGTGGGCACAGAGGAGGATGACGCTGCTAGTGGCGGGGGCTTCCAGGAATCCCTGTCAATGACTGCTGGTCAAGGGCAGACTGCAGCATCCCTTGAAATGCATGATATCGAGCAACTCCTTATGGGGGATGAATGTGCTGCTGACATGTCGGGCTGTGATTGGCCCAGTAGTGTTGGAAACCCTGGGCTAGGGGGAACTGGCCCTGGAGGGATCACAGAAGGTGGAGGGGTTGGAGGAATACAGGGTCACGGAGCAGTAACAGAAGCTGCTGTAGGAGTAACTGATGGAGCAGTAGCAACGCCTCTGGGTGAAACATCTACGGCTGGGGATGTGGCAGATGTGAGTGCAGTGGGGCATCTACTCTTTGATGACTCGTCAGCTATGCAGCAGCTGAGCGCTGATTGGCTGACTGATTTCCAGAGGAGCAATTACGCTGTGTTTACCCCTGACACTGGGGCTGCCCTGGTGCCTGGGGCAACGGCTGCAGCACAGCAAGCAGTCCTGTCATCAGCTGAGCATGCAACTGGAATGCCAGCATGCAACTGGAATGCCAGCATGCAACTGGAATGCCAGCATGCAACTGGAATGCCAGCATGCAACTGGAATGCCAGCATGCAACTGGAATGCCAGCATGCAACTGGAATGCCAGCATGCAACTGGAATGCCAGCATGCAACTGGAATGCCAGCATGCAACTGGAATGCCAGCATGCAACTGGAATGCCAGCATGCAACTGGAATGCCAGCATGCAACTGGAATGCCAGCATGCAACTGGAATGCCAGCATGCAACTGGAATGCCAGCATGCAACTGGAATGCCAGCATGCAACTGGAATGCCAGCATGCAACTGGAATGCCAGCATGCAACTGGAATGCCAGCATGCAACTGGAATGCCAGCATGCAACTGGAATGCCAGCATGCAACTGGAATGCCAGCATGCAACTGGAATGCCAGCATGCAACTGGAATGCCTCTCTGCCGGTGCAGCAGGGGGTGTGGCAGCTTGGGGCGGCCAAGGGCAGGCAACCCAGTCAGGATGGGTCTAGAGCTGTAGGAGAATACCACTGGGGACAGGGCTACGTGCCTTGAGATGTCATGGACATGCATCAATCGATCTTTTGGTGAATCATGATGTTGCTGATGCCAAGCAAGTGAGTAAGTCCTTGGTATGGTAAGTCCTTGGTCCTGCAGCAAGTGAGAGATAAGTTCTAGGTATGCTTGAGTCTCTACAGTACTGCACATTACGGTACCTTGTAGAACTTATTCAGGGGTAAGGAGAGGTTTTTGTTAAGCTGTTCAGGCTTGCTCCTTTCACAGGATGTTCTCATTCCACAATGGAGTTACAATGTAGAACAGGCCAGCAAGCATTGGATGCTGTGGCATTGGCCATGTTGGTTGCCCTTCAGAACCCAATCACTGCAAGCAGATCGATTGAATTAGGCACTAAGAACAGGACAGGCAGGAGGACAGTAGATGCGGAACAGTAGCAGCAGCGGTACAGTGGGCGAGGAGGTTTAGATGATGCCGATCTTGTTGGCAATGTCCAGAGCATCGTAGTCTGCTGTCAGCCGCACGTACGCCTTCTTCTGTCCATCAGGCCTGCCACGTCACAGGGTGACGGATTTGGGGGAAAGAGGAAATCAAGACGTTAGATAGCGAAATTCCAAGTGCAAGCGGCGAACGTCCTTCATGCTGCCATTCTTATCAAGTCCTGATTATGCTTCTCTTTGCCCCTAATAGTAGGTTCGATCTCCAGTGGCCTGATGCTCAAGCCATCAAAATAATCTCCTGCGTTTACTCCATCAATGAGCGTTACAAGGATCAAGAAAACGAAATCCCGAGGAGAAAGACTTACCTGATGAGTGTGTTGATCTTCTTGCACTGGATGTCGTACATCTTCCTGACGGCCTCCTTGATCTGCCTCTTGGTGGCCAGCAGATCCACAATGAACACCAGCGTGTTGTTGTCCTCAATCTTCTTCATTGCCGACTCCGTTGTCAGCGGGAACTTCAGCACCTGGGAGAGCGAGTCAGCAAGGAAGCAATGAAGGAGAGTACGGAAATGTCAGCAACGTAATGGACTGTTTTTCCTCGATCATTTTCATCGCCGACTCGGTGGTCAGAGGGAACTTCAGCACCTGGGAGGACCGGAGATTAGCGGGAAAATGACAGACGGAAGAGTACGAAAATGTTAGCATCGTGACAATGTTGTTTCCGAAAAAAATACATCCCCTATTCCGTGGTCAAAAGGATCTTCAGCACCTGGTAGGACGAGGAATTAGCGAGAAACTTCGGCACGAAAATGGAACCATCTCGCATAATCGGCTCTTCTGTCAGAATAAGCATCTACGGCTCTGAGTTATCTGCACTCTGGAATGGCTTTGAAAGTCCTCCTGCGAACGCGGGTCTCAGAGCCTCTCTAACTAGCCGCTTTGATGAACAAAAGCTCGAAATGTCTCTAACAAGGCGTCCGGAAAATCTACAAATCACCAAATCCTCCAGAGTAACCGTTAGTAATCAGCAGCTTGGAATGCCTCTGACCAGGCCTTCGAAAACTCGACAACCTGAAGAAGTCTCAGACCCGGCGTTAAGAAAGTCTACGGTCTTCAGATGCTTCGATTCGTCGTTCAGGAAAGCAGCGATCGGAATGCCCTGACTACTCTTAGGGAACCTATAAACGCGGAACGTCGTGGACTGGTCAGTCAGTTGTCTAGGCTATCGCCATCACGACGCCTTGAGAACGAAAATACCGACAAGCGTGAATTCAGCCAGCTAGATAGTGACGGTCCTTCCAGGAGCGCGCCTACTCCTAGTCGTCGTTAAACTTCTCGTGATGGAAACTAATGGAGACGATCTCCATCCGCTATTCAGAGAGTCAGCGTCAGCAACACCTAGCGCCATGCGTGCGACAAGAAGCCACCAACCATCTTTCGCTTGGCATCTCCGAAGTGGACCGTAATCTGACTAAAAAAGGCTGGCTCGTCCACCACTGACCTGCTCCACCCAGTTAAACATTCAGGAAGATGTGTACCAAACGACTTTATGAAAGCAGAGATTCATGAAGATCCACTCACCCAGAATTTCAGGAACATAGCTCCAAGCATTTTCCAGAATGTTTTTCAGTAGACTTAAGAACACGCCAACTCAACACACAAACAGAGGTTAATGCGAAGTTCCACTCACCCGGAACTGGTCGAGCTTCTGCATGGGAGGAGCCGAGATTCTGGGGTACTTCCGAGTTTTATCAGGAATTTTGTAGTACATTCAAAAACACGCAGAACCAACATACAAACGAAGTTTCACGTGAAGATCCACTCACCCGGAACTGGTCGAGCTTCTGCATGGGAGGAGCCGAGATTCTGGGGTACTTGGGGCTGCGAGCCTTCTTCAGGGTCTTGGGCCGGTGGAAGTGCACGGACGTCCGGACCTTGAGGATCTTCTTCCTGCTCGTCTTCTTCAGGGCCTTGGCGGCCTTTGCGGCTTGAGCCTTGGCATCGGGCTTGCCTGGTGAAAGAAACAAGGGTAAGAAAGCCACCAAACAGGTTGACGGATACGGGAGAGACGTACTTTGATTCTAGACTATTTCGCATAACACTGATGCACGCAATGTGAACCAGACGGTTCGACGATGACAACGAACGGTACGAGCGGTATCTGTTTCATCAAATCTAACATATCTTGCCGCGGGTTCTAAGAGAAAACTCCGGGAGGAAAAATCCCGCACGAATCGCATCAACGACCACCTTCAAGGGTCACGAAAACACGGGCTGGCAGTAAGAAACCCTAATCCAACGGCTAGTCACATTCTGCTAGACTTTTGCCCTAATTTTCCACTATGACGAGTCCACGGTACTACATAACCCCGGAAGGAAACCGAAAACATCAAACTAGACGACGCGTAACACTTTCGCGCCCTCACCTTTGGGCGCCATGGCTACTTCTGTGACTAGACGGTCTGAGAGTTACAAGAGAAGGGACCACCCCAGGGCAGAAAGGAAGGTGGAATAGGTGAGAGACAGGGCTTTGAAAACGTAGCTTCCAAGTCCAGTCAGAGAGGCGCAAGCAAAACAGTTCCCAAGGGAGGCTGGTGCGGAACAGGGAGGTTCAAGAGAACAAGGAATACAAAATGGTATTGAAATACAGTGCCGAGAAATTGTCGGGACCAGAAACGAGAAGTAGCGTACCGAGGATATGAATCACTTGGTCATTTGGGATTTGCGGATGGGCTCCCATCCTTTCCGCAATAGGTTGAGATAAACTGGCGAAACAATCTGGCGCACCGATGTACACTAATGGGCAAAGTACAGCAACATGGTTGAGACTAAGTCGGCACACTAGATAACTAGAGCAAACATGAAGAGTCTGAAAAAAAAACATATTTACCATTCTTCCGGGTATAATATATCATTGTGACTTCATCTAAGCAGCAAGAACAGCCGCAAGATCTTCAGACTTTCCTCGCACATAGATGGTGTACACCAGGCGAATTGCATCCACCCAAGCATCCATGGAGTCCCAATCGTCCGCCACCTGCAAGCACCACAATAAAATCTCGGTGACCATAAGAAAAACACACAGGCAACCGGAAAACAAATATTCTCCCTAATATTCTCACGGTCTCATGTGCATAAAACCTTAATAATGCACTCACCATGTAAAATGGCCCATCTACAGTGTCCAGCACAATGCCCCCGCCAGCCGGCAGGCTGAGATCAGCACAAGCCTCCACTGACACAATCTGGCCGATATCCACTTGAATCGGTGGAGGCGGCAGTGCAGGAACTCCTTCCTCCAAACTAGACAACAAATTAGGCCGCCCACCCATCGCCCCGTCTGACCACCTTCCCCCGTCTGACGTGGCAGCAGCTGAACCAGGGGTTCCGGCGTTGGCGGGCGCGGCAGGTGCGGCAGCAGTAGGTGGAGCGGGCTCAGGCTTGGGGACGATCGAAGCTGTTACGGAGGTCTGGGAGTGGGCTGTGTTGCGGCGGGAGGTCAGGTTGCTGTGGGGTTGCTTAGGCTCGGGCTTCTTGCCCTGGGGGAATTGAGAGGGAAGGATGAAGGGCGAGAAAAATTGGGTCAGGGTGGCAAGTGAGAGGGGAGTGAGAAGAGAGTGTGAGGGAGCGTGCGGAGAGCGTGAGGAGAGTGTGACGGAGCGTGTGTGGAGAGCGAGGAGAACACCTTACACAGCATGGCCCCTAGCAACAGAGACCCCAACAGGCTTCCAGGCACCAAACAAACCCTTTTCAAGCCACTCAAGCACGCACATTTTTCAGCCGCACACAACGCGAGCAGCACGCACCTCCTTGAGCCGTTCATGGTCCAGCACAAACCAGAGCCTGAGCCACTCCGCATGGGGAGCCAATGAGTTGCCGCCAGGTGGCACGGTGAGGTAGCCGCCCTTGAGATACGGGAGGGGCAGCTGGGCACGCATGGACATAAGGTGGTGAGAGGGAAAGAAAGGGATGGGGAATTAGTTATGTTACTCCTGCCCACTGTTGTGGCAGCTAGATAATTTAAGTTTCTTATCTGATGACATGGCAGTGGCACTGAACTGACTGTTGAGTTGCCTTGAAAATGGCATGAAAAAACTTATGACAGTGGTAGAATCATATGTGTGAGGTTTAGGATTCCTCTGTTCTTATAGAAAAGCGCACGTCCTTGTATGTGTATGGGCAGGTGCGCGTGCAAGTGCGTGTGCGAGTGTGTGTGCGAGTGCGTGTGCGAGTGTGTGTGCGAGTGTGTGTGCGAGTGTGTGTGTGAGTGTGTGTGCGAGTGTGTGTGCGAGTGTGTGTGCGAGTGTGTGTGCGAGTGTGTGTGCGAGTGTGTGTGCGAGTGTGTGCGAGTGTGTGTGCGAGTGCGTGTGCGAGTGTGTGTGCGAGTGTGTGTGCGAGTGTGTGTGCAAGTGTGTGTGCGAGTGTGTGTGCGAGTGCGTGTGCGAGTGTGTGTGCAAGTGTGTGTGCGAGTGTGTGTGCGAGTGCGTGTGCGAGTGTGTGTGCGAGTGTGTGTGCGAGTGTGTGTGCAAGTGTGTGTGCGAGTGTGTGTGCGAGTGTGTGTGCGAGTGTGTGTGCGAGTGTGTGTGCGAGTGTGTGTGCGAGTGTGTGTGCGAGTGTGTGTGCGAGTGTGTGTGCGAGTGCATATCCAACGGAATGTGTGTGTGCATGTGAGGGTGCTTGGGGAGATGCATGTGCACTTGCGAGCGCGTATGCATGTTTGTGTGCATGTGCTTGTGCTGTGCGTGTGCCTGAGTGCATGTGCATGTGTTCTACACAGCTCACCATGGTTCGCACGAGCCGGAGAGCATTGCGGTACACCTGAGTCATCCCAATTGTCCAGGCCAGGGGAAGATATGCACACACACTCACACACACACACACACACACACACACACACACACACACACACACACACACACACACACACACACACACACACACACACACACACACACACGCGCGGGAAGAAAGGCAAGATTCAGTGAGAGTCGGTTCTTCAGGCACCTCAACGATGCAGTGAGAGGAAACATCAGACATGCCCGAAAGTTGCAATGAAAAACGCATCTCGCATATGCATGTGCATATGCATGTGAATATGCATGTGGAAGGGGCATGTGCATATGCATGTGGAAGGGGCATGTGCATATGCATGTGGAAGGGGCATGCGCATATGCATGGATGTCTCCTCACCTCCTCTCTCCCTCACTCAATTTCTCCTCCCCGAACATCAACTCTCCTCGTTATCCTTGCTCGTTCACAGGGTGGCTTTTGAGAATTCTCAAAAACCACCTCCTCTCCCCCTCACTCAATTTCTCCTCCCCACACATTCCCTCTCCTCCTTATCCTTTCTCGCTCACAGGGTGGTCCGATTTGAGCGTGTGAGCAGCAGCGATGTACACAGCAGACTGGCTGTAGATTGCTCGGGTGTGGTGCAGTCAGAAAGCAGGCCTCCCTTCTCCCCTCTCCTCTCTTTTGCTCTTTTAACTCCCCACTCAGCACACTCACGGGGTAATCAGCCTTGAGGGCGTGAGCAGCAGCGACGTACACAGCGGACTGGCTGTAGACCTCGTTGACCGGGTGTTTTGAGACGTCTCAAAACACTTCTTCATACACGTGCTGAGAGTGGCCAGGCATACGGCTACCACCCAGCTCGCACTCTCTCTTCCCCCCTTGCCCACTCACAGGGTAATCAGCCTTGAGAGCATGAGCAGCAGCGATGTAGACAGCAGATTGGCTGTAGACCTCGTTGGCAGGGTGGGTGGTGCGGTCAGGCATGACCCCCGTCTTGCTCTTGGCCTGCTTCATTGTGTCCTCTGCCAAGCCATACTGAACAACAGTGGATGCGGGTGGTGGGTGGTGGGGGGAGAAGATAAAGCAGAAGCAGACGAAGCAGACTGGTTGGTTAACTGAACTCCTTGACACAGTGGGTCTTGGGTTGGCTCAGAATAGAGGGTGTGTGCTGTGTGGGGGGTGGAGCGGTCGGGCATGACCCCTGTTTTGCTCTTGGCCTGCTTCATTGTGTCCTCTGCAAGCCCGAACTGGCAGGAGGGAGACGACGTGCGGAGGGGAAGAGCGGGAGAGGGGAAGGGGGGAAGCAACAAGGGTGGGTGGCAACATGGCACAGGGTGGGTGGTGCGGTTGGGCATGACCCCTGTCTTGCTCTTTGCCTGTTTCATTGTGCCATACTGAAGAACGGTGGAAGGCAGTGGGGAAGCAGGAGAAGCAGGAAAATCTGACTGGTTGGGAAGAACACTCCAACGAATCCCGTTGGCAGAGTGTGTTTTGGGTTGGCTCAGAAAAGAGGGTGGGTGGTGCGCTCGAACATGACCCCCCTCTTGCTCTTTGCCTGCTTCGTCGTATTCTCTGCCAACCCGTACTGAAGCAAAGAGGGGAAGAAAGGGAGGGAGGGGACGGGGGGGACGGGAGGGTAGGGTGAGAGGGTAGGGAGTTAGGGGAGGTTAACAAGGGAAGGAAAGAAATATCTCGGTGATTCTAGCACAATTAGGAGGTTGGAGGGATTTGAACACTGGATTGCGTACATACCAGCACATACCAGCACATACCAGCACATACCAGCACATACCAGCACATACCAGCACATACCAGCACATGCCAGCACATACCAGCACATACCAGCACATACCAGCACATACCAGCACATACCAGCACATACCAGCACATACCAGCACATACCAGCACATACCAGCACATACCAGCACATACCAGCACATGCCAGCACATACCAGCACATACCAGCACATACCAGCACATACCAGCACATACCAGCACATACCAGCACATACCAGCACATACCAGGACATACCAGCACATACCAGCACATACCAGCACAGTGCCGAGGTTGTAGATGGCTCGGTGGAAGTCGTAGCGCAGACGGATGGCTGCTCGGAACTGGTGGGGTGGGGGCAGCAGGGGAAGCGGGGGTGTGGGGGGAGGGGATGATGGACCAGGGTGGAGAAAATGCAGAATGGAAGAGTGGAAGTCGTAGCGCAGGCGGATGGCTGCTCGGAACTGGTGGGGTGGGGGCAGCAGGGGGGAGGGAGCACGGGAGAAGGGAAAAAGGGGAGGGGAAGATGGAACAGGGTGCGGAAAAATGGAGAATGTAAGAATGGGTGAATGTAAGAGGTGCACTGCACACATGTTGATCAAGAGGTGGGCTCTGCGTGTGCAACCAGTTTAGCAGCAGGCGGATGGCTGCTCGAAACTGGTGGGGTGGGGGCAGCAGGGGGGAGGGAGCACGGGAGAAGGGAAAAAGGGGAGGGGAAGATGGAACAGGGTGCGGAAAAATGGAGAATGTAAGAATGGGTAAATGTAAGAGGTGCACTGCACACATGCATGCATGTGTGCACTGCTGCTAAACTGGTTGCACACGCAGAGCCCACCTCTTGATCAACCGTCTCACCTTGTTGATTGCCTTGCAAACCACCTTGCGCTTGCCCCTAGCCTGCAGCGATAAGGTCTATCTGAGGGCCTATATTTGAGACGTCTCAAAAATCGTCTGAGGGCCTCGACAGTGCCTTGCATTTGAGTCGACTCAAAAGTTGCCCTTAGCCTGTAGCAATGAGGTCTATGTGAGGGCCACCACAGTGCCTTGCATTGCATGCCAACTCGTCGGCCCTCATTCCTCACCTTGTTAATCGCCCTGCACACCATCTTCCGCTTGTCCTTGGCCGGCACGATGGTGCTCAGCTCCTGCAGCGCTGAGGTCTATCTGAGGGCCCAATCCCCACATTGCCTTGCATTGCATGCCAGCATGTCACCGCTCTCCTCACCTTGTTGATTGCTTTGCGCACCACCTTGCGCTTGTCCTTAGCCGGCACAATGGTGCTCAGCTCCTGCAGCGCCAGCCCCCAGTTGTTGAGCGCCTGGGGCGAGTCCCAATTCAGCTGCACTGCCCGCTCGTACTTGCTGCACGCCTGGCGGGGTGCGTGAGTGAAGGGAGTTGGGAGGGGTTGAGAGGGGTGCACGAGCCCAGAGGGAGAGGGTTGGTAGCATACGTCTTGGCCTTCTTCTGCAGCGCCAGCCCCCAGTTGTTGAGCGCCTGAGGCGAGTCCCAATTCAGCTTCACTGCCCTCTCTACTTGCTGCACGCCTGGTGGGGTGGGAGAGGGGAAGATTAATGTCCTTGGTGGTGGAATTACCATTGCAATATTTGGCACCAAGTTTCAACCATCCTCTTCCTCTTTTTAAGATTCTACAGCCAATTGCTACCACCCTCGTCCTCCCATGCTTCCTCCCCATGCCTCCTCAACCTCCTCACCCTACTCAAGGCATAACTCCTCAGCCATTGAAACCGTCGTCTTCCCCAGCCTTCCCTACCGCCTCGCTGCACCTGCAACCATGCCTCCTCTCAACCTCCACATCCTACTCAAGGCACAACTCAGGGCTCAAACCCAGACGTTCCCATGCTTCCCACCACCTCACCGCACCTGTTACCATGCCTTGTCACCGCACCTGTTACCATGCCTTGTCACCGCACCTGTTACCATGCCTTGTCACCGTACCTGCTTCCAGAGGTCCTCAGCTTCGGCAGTCCTGCCTCGGATCTTGGCTCGGTCGGAAATGGCAATGGCCCAGTTGTAGAACGCCTGCGGTGAATGCCCAATGTGAATGGAAGGGACAAGAGAGGAAGAAGAGGGGGGTTGAACCTTTGAAAGGCGGGGAGTGGGAACAGGAGGAGAATGCACAGTCGGAAATGGCAATGGCCCAGTGTGTGCCTCACCTCTGACCACCTCACCTCGGTCCCCTTCCCACCCTACTCCCCGCCCCACCTCATGCAGCCCTCACGCCCTACAGCCCTCTGTCTGGCTCACCGTTGTCTCCCTCCTCCCTTCTGTCCCCCGCTCCTCAAGCAGGGTGCTGCACAGCAGGCTAGCAGCCTGGCACTTGCGGAACCAGTGCCCTTAACACGCCCTGCCTCGCTCACGCCCCACAGACCTCTGTCTGCCTCCTCTCTCTCTCCCTCACCTCGTGCAGCGTGCCACACAGCACACTGGCGGCCTGGTACTTGCGGCACGCCTCCTCCAGCAGAGCGCCAGTTACCCGCCCTGCTGCACTCGTTCCCTACACCCCTCTGTCTACCTCACCTCTGCCCGCCTCCCACCCCTCTCCCCCCCTCACCTCATGCAGCGTGCCACACAGCACACTGGCGGCCTGGTACTTGCGGCACGCCTCTTCCAGGAGAGCGTCCTTCCCCTGCAGCCCTGCTTCGGGCCCGCTGTTGTCCGCACTCTCCTGCAGCACTAGCGCCCAGTTGTAGAGCGCGTCGTAATCCCGCGGATTGCGCTCGACAGCAGTTTGGTATCTGTGGAGGGGCGGGGCGAGAGTGTGATATGTAGGTGTGTGTGTGCCTTGTTGTACCAGCGCCCAGTTGTAGAGAGCATCGTAGTCCCGCGGATTGCGCTCCACTGCTGTCTGGTAGCTGTGGGGGGACGGGTGGGTGGGTGTGGGGGTACAAGCTTGTTCTCACTCCAATCCCCTGCAGCACCAGCGCCCAGTTGTAGAGTGCATCATAGTCACGCGGATTGCGCTCCACTGCTGTCTGATAGCTGTGAAGGGGACGGGTGGGGGCGACATGTGGTTGCGGGGGTACAAGCTCCATTCACTCTCCTGCAGCACCAGCGCCCAGTTGGAGAGTGCATCATAGTCACGCAGATCGCGCTCCACTGCTGTCTGGTACCTGCGGGCGACAAGCGTGAGTGGGAGTGAAACGTGCGTGTGGGGGTGTGTGTGGTCGATTAGTGGGTGGGGATGTGGCACTTGAGTGGGGATGCTTGTGGAATCGATTCTCCTTTCTCAACCCTTCCTCTCTCGGCCTTCCCCTATCTCAACCTCCTCTCTCACCCCCCTCTCCCTCTCTCCCGCGTACCGTTTCGCGGCAAATGCGAGGATGCGAGCGCGCGAGCGCCCTTCCTCCTCGCCCGTAGCGATGCTGTACAGCACGTCCCCCACGATGCTCCCGCCGATCATCGTATGCCCCCCGCCCCCCCCCGCCCCCTCGCCGCCATCCCCGCGCGGAGTCCCCTCCTCCGCCTGATTGGCTCCTTCAGTCGGATCGGCGTTCTTATCCGAACTGGCTTCCCTTGAGGGCCAGCTGTCTCCTTCTGTTCCCCCTCCCGCTCCACCCCCGTCTGCTGCTGCTGCTGCTGCTGCTGCTTCCGTCGCAGCGGCATTCGTCTCTACGTTTGCCTTTGACGGGACCGCGTCTCCCGTGCTTCTGCGGAAGGAGCCAGTCGCATTAGAGGTATGGACGGATAAGGGACGGGAGGGGACGGATAGGGGACGGATCATGGGGAGCGTTTGCCGGGAGTGAGAGCTCGATATGATTCGGTGTCAGATCACGAATTCAATTAGGGAAAGAGGTGCACTGGCTTAATATTAGAACATGAAGCTCGGAACCGAGTCTGCTGGCAGGGAGGGTAACTAATCTTTGGCATCAAGTCGTACGCTTCGTTCGTGGATCCTATCGTGTAAGCTTCGTTAACAGGATTCGTACGCTTCGTTAGAAGCAGCGGGGATGGAATCCGACAATCCTCCTGTGACTACATCCCCTGAGCTGACGGCCGGCATGTCAGATGTCCCGCCATTCCCGGCTGAACTTCCGAGACCATTCGTTTCCGACGCCTTATCTTCCGCAAGCTTCGTGAATACCGCAGGGTCGGTCGCAGCAGCCATGGACAGTGCGTCGGAGAACTAGACTGGAGAATAGACCTTGGCAATGCGGTGAATGGTTCTGATTCGACTCAAACTTCGGCGAAATTCACAGGAGAGAAGACGAGGCGAATGCTGGCATACGAATCTTCCAGCGATGTGCGACAGTTATAAACCCCAGTAGACTGGAGCACAGGACCTAGTCACCTAGGTATAGTTACTTCGGATCCTAGATATTGTCCTACAAGAAACTGGAATCTAGAAAATAAAGACAATGCCAGATCCTCGTTAAAATTGTTGCGACAATATCGAGGTCCATCCCGTTTGTTCCGTTATGCATGTTCATTCCACTTTAATGTTCAGCTCATTTTCCCTCTGGAGTGCGCTTTGATGATTGTGTGATTTCTTATTTATTTATTTAGCATCAATCATTAATTACAGTACACGTCACCCCACTGCCATAATTTAAACAAAAGAAACTAACCGTAAAAGTGGCCGCATGGCTTCAGAGGTGATTGTGTGGGTTTTTTTATATATTTTTTTTGGTTTGTTTTATGTGTCATAACAAGGAGTGCTTAAGCATATGCATTTACATACAAAAAGTGGTCATAATATATAGTTATATTCAGTAAGTATAATCATTTGGTGGATGAAATACATTATAGAATGTAGAACATCGGCAGTCATAACGGTAGCATATTTTAAGTGGAGCCACGTGGGGATGGCACAGATACCCACATCAAGAGCCCTTTGTGCGACCAATAGGAGTGTACGGAAGCTTTTACTTATCACCTCACCGGATAAAGCCGCTATCACCGACATTCGTTCCGATTTCTGACGGTTCCACGACATGCCTGTGAATGCCTGTGAACGTGGCGAACTGGTGATCGAAGGTTTTGCAAAAAAGGATTTTTGCAAAGTTGTGGGGAGAGTGGGGTGGGGGTGCTCTTCCCGGCTGCGCATTCTCGGCCCTCCCCTCCCCTCCCCCCCTTCCGCCACCTGCCACAACAATATCGCAGCCGTACTTCAGAATTTCGGGGCACTCGTCCAATGGAAATTGCCCAAGGCCAAGCGAAGTCATCAAACGACGAGGCGCTCAGCTACAGTGTTCCTCCACGTACTGCCACCCTTGTGCCTGCGACTTGCGGTTCAGCAAAGTTCCATCTGACCGTGGTCTGTCGAATCAGTCACTTCAAATGGCATTTTATTTGTTGGAATTTTGGGAAATCCTAGCATGTCAAAGTTGCACTTCGTTTATACCCTCCCCTGCGGCGCGGCCGAACCTGTATGCCCAGCGCACGTTTGTGTCATTCCCTTCCTTCCCATCTCAGCCCAGCTCAACTGCATCAGCTCGCTCCTTTTTCCTTCCAGCCCCCGTCAACACGCCCCCCCCTGCCCCGCTCCACAACTCCAGCTGTGTCCCTCTGGCTTCCAGGTCTACTCAACTCTGTTGCTCATTTGCTGCTGATTCTTGCCAAAACAACGGACCTTCCTCGTGTATTTCCTTTAACCACGTACCCACCGAATTACAGTACCGTCTTTCCCGCTAATCGCTCCTCACACTCGTGATGCCACTCCACGCAACGTCACAGGCCGCTCCCAGTTTGGCTGCCCTGACCAGCCGAAACGGGCGAATCCTTGCTGTCTCCCTACAGCGCCTCATCCGCCGAACAAGCATGGTTCCTCCCTTGCAGCCCTGACCGATGCAACTTGTGTTTCCAATGCGTTCTCCATCGTCCGAAGCATGCGCTAACCTTGAATCTCCCGCGCTTGAACCTCGCCTATCGGCAAGAACACTTGCTCTGGTCGGGACATTCGTAAAGAAGTAGAGATGCGCCGGGATTCGAGGTCCATAACTTATCACTACCGCCTCGCGGTTCCGCACGATCGCCATTACCACCGCATCGCCCATGCTTCGGCGTCCAATCGGTTAAACTATTCGCTGGTACCTTCAGTGGTCCTAGTAAGGGTGTTACTGTATCGAGAGTTGCTTCAGACGGGTCATATCATAAGTGAAGCTGATCACCGCATATTCACGTATTCTCATATTCCTAGCCAGGACGGTGTTCGTACCTCGAAAAAGCAGGCGGCGCGAGACTTACAGATCAACTTTTTCCGCGATCAGCGGCCATGGAGTATCGAGACGACGAAAGTCCGTTGTTTTATTCCAACGATGGAATGCTCTCCGCTTCAGAGCTCTTCCTGTCGTCACCCGCCTTCGGCGACGGTCCTGAGGGTACTACTAGTAATGGTGCGACCAGCTTAGTAGGCCCTTTTGACGGTGCTATGGTCTCTCCCGAATGGATGCGATGCGACGCCGAACGCCCTGCGGCGACTCTTGGCGACGTGATGAGCGACGTGATGGGCGACGAGCGCGAAGGGGATGCTGTTCTTTGCGAGCGACAGCAGTCGCTTGACCCGCTCGCCGAGATGCTGCCGTTTAGCACCGACGCGTTTGACGGCTGCGGGGCCGCGTTGCTACCTGAGAGTATCCCGGAATTTGCGCTCCCGTCAGTTAGAGAGCCTTGCGAAAGCATGTCCGCCGATGTCCACGTTCCTGGCGTCCCAGCCTGGTCGCACGAAGTCGCAGGGGAGTCGCAGGGTGTTCCGCAAACGAGGGGTAGCACGGACGAGTCGCCGAACCTAGCAGCGGACGTTGACAGTAATGCCGTAACTTGTAGCAGCGCTGTTGACGGCGTCGTTCACGGCGCCAGAGGCAGTTCAAGCCTGGGGGAGAGGGTGCCGGTTGCGGAGTCGAGCCGCGGTCTCTCTGGCTCAAAACCTATCATTGGCGACTCGAAACCTGTTACGGAACGACACGTGTCATTTTCCGATCCATCCACCCCACGACAGACGGGGACAGGCTCTCGAGTCGGTCTTTCCTCCTCCGCAACTTTCGCGCCGCTCTCCCTCCCCCCGCCATCCCCGCTCTCCCTCCCCTTCGCGTCCCCTCGACCACTCTCCGCTTCTTCCCCACTCTCCCTTCCCCCTTCCACTCTCCCCTCCATCTCTCTTCCCTCCTCTCTCCCCCCGCCCTCCCCACTCTCGCTCCCATCCTCGTCGTCGCTCCCCCTCCCCTCGCCGTCCGAACTCTCTTTGGCTTCCGCTTCCCCCTACCTGCACTACCGGGGGGTGCGCCAGCGCCCGTGGGGGAAGTGGGCGGCGGAGATTCGAGACTCCGCGAAGAGCGCGCGCGTGTGGTTAGGGACGTACGCGACGGAGGACGAAGCGGCTTTCGCGTACGACGCGGCGGCGCTCGCGATTCGCGGATCACGCGCGAGAGTGAACTTCGAAGGGAGTCGTGAATACGCGGCGCAATTCGCGGAGGTCTTGGCGAAAAACGGTGGAAAAGTCGATCGACGGCTGCAGATTGCTCTCGGGATCGAGACGATGAGGCTTATTAGGGAAGGCGCCGCGAAACACGTGGCAAGCTTACAGAGCGCCACGTCGGAACTTTGCAGGCCGTTCAGGGGCTTGAGGTCGCGGCGGAGGAAAGTGAGTGTTGGGGGGGCAAGCGCGGGGGTTAGCTGCGGCGGCAGCGCGGGGGAGGAGATTGGCAGGGGCATTGGCGAAACCATGGGGGGAGGAGGAAATGTTTCGGCGGAGGAGGCGGAGTTACGGGGGAACGTCTCAGCGGATGTTCCTATAACGACCAACTCGGATTGCAAAGCGGAGGCAGGCAGAGAGATATTGACTGGGGGGGAGGGAGGGAAGGTGCTTCGAGTGGGGGAGCAAGATACGGAGGGAGGGTTGAAACACAAAAAGCAGGAGCATCAACAGCAGCAAATACGGCTAGGGCAGCAGCATCAATTGGGGCAGCAAAATCAACCGGGGCAACATAATCAATCGGGGCAGCAACAATTACTGCAGGAGCAACCCCCAGCGCCCGCTGCAAAACTTGAAGCTCAGAAAGATGTGATTGGCTTGGGGGAAATTGATCTCCTCTTTGCTGCCCGTGGTGGGCGTCGGAGCAACCAAAGCTGCCCTCCAAACGTTCTCAACGATTGGATGGGAGCAGACGACGAAATGTTTTGGAGTGCCCTAGGGGAGGGAACCGGGGGAGCGTTTTCGGGGATGGGGGAGGGAGGAGGCAGCTACACGGGCGGATGGGGTTCGGATTCGGCTACAGTAACAGCAACTACAGTAACCGCGACTACAGTAACAGCGAGTAGAGCCGCGATTGCTGCTATTGAGGAAGGGGACACTGCAGGAGTGGGGGAGAGGGGAGTGGTGGTGAGTGGGAGGGGCGAGGGGGAGGGAAAAGTTGGGGGGGAGGAAAATGAGAAGGGTGGAGAGGAGGATATGATAGAGTGGATGCTCAATCAGGAGGCGCCTGCAAGCTCTCTCTGCCTTGTTACTCCCGCTTCCGCCATGGATGGACAACAAGCTATTACTGCACCTAACACTGCAGTCGGCACTGCAGCTGGTACTGTAGCATGCAGTGTAGCAGGCAGTGCATCGACAGCACCAGGCACCAATCTCCCTGTCACCGTGGCAAGAAGTGGTTCAAGCACGGGAATGATTTCTCCAAGTACACTCCCGTCTACATCAACCCGGATACATGTTACTGGTTCAGCTACTCCAAGTGAAGCGCCTTGTAACAGAGCACCAGGAGCTGCCGCGTATGTGTGCCCCAGCCCTTCACTGCTATTACATCTCCCTGACCCCACTCAGACACCAGTGAAACGGCCGCCGCCAGGGTTTCATTCACACCCCCCTGCGGGTTTCAACTTGACATCAGCAAACCCTGCAGCATCCCCAACGCCACTGCTGCCATCATCCCCGTTAGTGGCATCTTCACTACAAGCAAACTCGTTTCCATTACATCGTCGGCCTGCTGGGTCTTTATCAGTAGGCCACGCAGCAGCAATGGCATCAACACCAGCAACAGGAGCATCAGCAGCAGCATCGGCAGCACCATCAGCAGAAGCAAAGCAACTGTCAGCATCACCTGCGCCATATGCAACATCACCAGCAGCGCCAGCATCAGCACTAGCGGCACCCCCTGCAGCATCTGCGTTCCC